GCACACTTACAGTCCCAGCTACTCAAGAGGCTGAGGCAAGAAGATTGCTTGAGCCCAGGAGGCTGCAGTGAGCCCTGATCACTAAATACATTGCACTCCAGCCTGGGTGACAAAATGAGATCCTGTCTCTAAAAAAACAAAAAAAAAAAAAAAGAGAGAGAGAGAGAAAAAAAGAAAAGAAAAGAGTAGGGCAGGCCAGGGGCGATGGCTCACGCCTGTAATCCTAGCACTCTGGGAGGCCGAGGCGGGCAGATTGCTCGAGGTCGGGAGTTCGACACCAGCCTGAGCGAGACCCCGTCTCTACTAAAAATAGAAAGAAATTAATTGATCAACTAAAAGTATATATACAAAAAATTAGCCAGGCATGGTGGCGCATGCCTAGTCCCAGCTACTCGGGAGGCTGAGGCAGGAGGATTGCTTGAGCCCAGGAGTTTGAGGTTGCTGTGAGCTAGGCTGATGCCACAGCACTCACTCTAGCCTGGGCAACAAAAGTGAGACTCTGTCTCAAAAAAAGAGTAGGGCAGAGAGGGGATTGATGGAAAGCAGTATAAGGGAATGTTCTGGAGGGATGGAAATCTTCTGTATCTTGACTGGGGTAGTGGTCACATGGGTGTATATGTTTATCAAAAGACATTAAACTGCGTAGACATTCATGCATTTTACTTAATGTAAACTATGCCACAATAATATATGTATTTTTAAAGTCCTCACTCCATCACTTTATTGTAACTAGTAATATTAGTATTGTATTTTTGAAATGGAGCACTTGTCCTCCTGGAGTGTAGTGGGGTCTGTAGACTAGAAAACAGACAGTTACAACACTGTGCAGTAAGTGTGAAGATAGCAAAAATTCAAGGCACCTGAGGGCTACAGAGTAGGGCGTTTAACTCAGATTTGAGGGAGACAGGAAAGGTTCCTGAGAGAAAGTAAAGTTTAAGCTAAGAACTGAAAGGTGAGTGGAATTGTTCAGGCAAACGGAGTGGAAGAGAGTGAAGTGTTCCTGGCAGAAGGAACTGGAGAGGAAGAGATGACCTGTGTACTTTATTCTAATGTGGAAAGATTTTGAAGCACTTTAAGTAGAGAAGTGACATGGTAAGAATTATGTTTTAGAAGGTTTATTCTAATGGCAAGATTGGAAGCAAAGAGACCAGTTAGCAGGTCAGTCACTGCTGGCCAGAGATGCTAGTGTCCTAAGTGAGGGGCCCTGGCCAGGAAGATAGATGTGAACTGATTTGAGAGAAACTGAAAGGTAGAACTACAGGGAATTAGTGGCTAATTGGTTTATGGGGGAGGATGCCCTAGTTTACTAGCTGGGTCACTGGGTGGAAGGTGGGTGAGGCCCTTTGCCAGGTTAGTGAACAACCCCCCCAAAAACAGAACTATGTTCAAAAATCACTTTTCTCTGTGATGTAATGTTACCGATTTAATATATAATTAGGTGTGTTAGTTTTAGTATGCTTTCAATTTTGTTTACTTTTTCTTTTCTGTTTTTGAATATGTAAAACATATACATGGGTCAAAAGTCTCACTATAAAGAAAGATTTTGCTTTCATCCCCTTACAGTTAATCATTTTTGTAGTGTCTAGTTTAACCATCTAGAGGCTTTTTATTTTATTTTATTTATTTTTTGTCTTTTTATTGAAACCTTAAAATCTGTATCTAGAGGCTTTTTAAATGCAAAAACAAATAAAGATGTACATATGTTTTTGTTCCTTCCTCCTTTGCTAAACTTTGCCTTTTTTTTTTTTTTTTTAAGAGACAGGGTCTTGCTCTGTCACCCAGGCAAACTCCTGGGCTCAGGGTGCAAGCGACCCACCTGCCTCGGCCTCCCAAGTAGCTAGGACTACAGGCAGAGCCACCACTCCTGGCTCCTTTTTAAAATTTTTTAAAAACTTAAGCTCATATCCTGGAGGTCTCTGTGTTAGGGTGGAAAACATGGTAGGTGTTCATGGCATAGATAGAGAAAGATTTCTCACACAGAGATTAAGATGTAAAAGTAAAATTTATTTTAGCCTTTAGAAGGACAGAGAGAATGAGGGAGGGGGGTGGTGAAGATAGCAGGGAGATGGTGTGGCATCCCAAAGAACTAGAAGGGAGATGCCAGCAGCTAGGCCAAGTGGCTTGCTGCTTTTATGGGGATGAAGAGAAAAATAGTTAATTATTGTGACTTGCCTATCCACTCCTTCTCTTCTTCTTAACTGCAAGCAGATAATGGAACCTGCTGTGTGAAACTGTTACATCCATCTGTTCCCTTTGCTTTAGGGATAAAGTGACCTTGTGCTTAAGATATAATTTTAGGCCGGGCGCTGTGGCTCACGCTTGTAATCCTAGCTCTTGGGAGGCCGAGGCGGGCGGATTGCTCAAGGTCAGGAGTTCAAAACCAGCCTGAGCAAGAGCGAGACCCCGTCTCTAACAAAAATAGAAAGAAATTAATTGGCCAACTAAAAATATATAGAAAAAATTAGCCAGGCATGGTGGCGCATGCCTATAGTCCCAGCTACTCGGTTGGCTGAGGCAGAAGGATGGCTTGAGCCCAGGAGTTTGAGGTTGCTGTGAGCTAGGCTGATGCCACGGCACTCACTCTAGCCTGGGCAACAAAGTGAGACTCTGTCTCAAAAAAAAAAAGAAAAGAAAAGAAAAAAAGATACAATTTGGGGCTGGGTTCCGTGTCTAGAGATTGTTCCCCATGCTTTCATCCAGGAACTTCTCAGGAACTACTCCAGGCTATAGAAACAGATGCTAAAAGGCAGTTTTAGTCAATAGGTCTAGCACTGTAAAAAAAAAAAAAATCTACATTTCCTTTTGTCAGCTGGGCTCCTTGAGACGTTCAGATCTCCACAGGGCACCTGTTAGCTAGTGGAGAGGGGGCAGAGCTGATTTATTTCACTCACCAGACCCACCGTCCTTTCAAATGTCTATCAGTACTTATAAATCTTCCTTATGTTTTTTTTTTTTTTTTTTTTTTTTTTCTGGCTAGCCAGGGTCCAAGCCCCAGAGCACCAACGCAGTGGCCACTCTCGCAGGCAAGGACCTTCCTTATGTTTTATAAGCTGCATGTTCACTATAGCACTCCATGGTTCAGTCAACACATGGGAGCAAACATTTTGTAGCAGATTGACAGTCCACTTAACTGGACTCCGAATAACTAAGTTCAAAGTCCTGGCTCCACCACTTATTAGTCCCTTCCTTTCGAGTGAGTCCTTTACCATCTGAGGCTGTTGTGGAAAACATAGGTCACAGCTCATTTGCCTGTTGTGAGCAACACGTCAATTCATACATTTAAAGCGCGATGGCAGTACATGGCGCATGGGAAGCCCTCAACTTAAATAAAAAGCGGGGTCGGGAGGAGTGATGGAGATTTGTAACAGCTTTAAGGATATGTGGGGGAAAACCAAGTGACGCAGTATTTCCAGAGCCTGTGTGCAGGAGGGCACACGAGTACACGGGGGGCCTCCCTGCAGCTCCGACGGCCTAGAAAGCAAGGGGTGGGTCTGGGGAGCCCGGGCGGCGAGAGCGCCGAGCCGCTCATCCGAGCACGTGGGATAAGGGCAGTGCGTTCCCAACCAGACCCCAGGGAAGGGCACTCTCGCCCTTCAGGCTGCTGGCAGCGACGCAGTGCGGGGTGGTCCCCACTTTCAGCCTACTGCATCCCGAGGCACCGCGGGCAAGCCTGTGCGGACCGAGCAGGAGCCCAGCCAGGCTGCCCGCTCCTGGGGGCGGGGCCGGGAGCGCAGCCGGGGCGGGGCGTGCCCGGGAAGGGGCGGAGCCGCGGCGGTGGCGCCAAATCGCGAACATGGCGCCAGAGCGGGTGCGGAGCCGAGCCGTCTCCGCCTTCAAGCTGCGGGGCTTGCTGCTCCGGGGGTGAGTGGACTGGCGGCTTGCGGGGTGGGGCCGGGGGCCGGGCCGGGGCCGCCTCGCGGGGCAGCGGGACTCGCCGCGGCGGCTCCCTGCGCGCCGCGGCGAGGGGCGCTTGCCTTGCATGATGACTGAGACCCCTAAAAAGTTCTAAGAAGCGACGTCAATCTGGCACGATTTTGAGGCTGCGATGCTTTCTTAGGTTTGCGCGGAGTTGAAAAGTTTCTTCCTGGCAGGGGATCCTGCGCATGCCAAACTGAGCGACCTGTCTCGGCAGCAGCCGACTACTAGCACGGTGATCTGGGCACCTCTCAGGCTCGCGAAGTCCCCGCCTCTGCTAAATGGGAATCTTAACAAGGCTGCTTCCCGCGATTACTGAGACATCAAATGACAGACCTGAGAAAGCCTGCATGCATATCTGTAGTTGCCAATTTATATTGTTGCAGAAATTGCCTCCCCTCCCAGTTTTGTGCCAGGCATTATTTCCTGGATAATTAAAAAGTAGGTAGGTTCTAAGAATGTTTTTAGGTGTTATTCTGGTTTTTTTTTTTTTTTTTTTAAGATTTCCTTTGTAACTTCCTGAAAGTCATGTTTCCTGGCCATATCCGTGTTTTTTAAGATCTATAGAATGATCCTTTCCAAGATTTCTCTCATTAAATCTGCTTTGTTTTCTGGAATACAATCTTTTATACTTATTTAAATACCCACTGGAATGAATATACCTTTCTGTACCAGGTTTTGATTGCTCTTGTGGGTGTAGAGTTTTCGGCTTGTTTTTGTAATTGTCAGTTTCACGACAATTTTTTTTTTTTTTGAAACGAGGTCTCAACTATGTTGCTCAGGCTGGTCTTCAACTCCTGGGCTCAAGCAATCTTTCCACCTCAGCCTCCCCAATAACTGGGATTATAGGTACATGCTGCAGCACGCCCTAGTCCAAGTTTTATGGGACTTTTAACTTTGCTTTTGGGTTAATGGTAAAGAGGGCAAGAGTGCGTATACCTTAGTAGAAAATGAATTTTGTCCAGTTGGTCCCTGACATTTTGAAAATATTCAATTAACATTTTGAAAATAATTCAATTAATTGAAAATATTCAATTAATATTCAATTGAATAATTAAATTATTCAATTAACTTTTCTAGCCTTTCACTTAGAATTTAACCTAATATTAAGCTTTTGTTCATTAATTAATTCAGTCAGAAATATACTTAAATCTGTTAGCTGCAAAGCACAGTACTGTGCAAGAGGGTGCAAGAGAGAGTAAGACACTCTGGAGCTTTGGGGGGGGCAGATAGTGTATTAGTTATCTACTGCAGCATAACAAATGACCCAAAAACTTAGAGGCTAAAGCAGCACACATCAATTATCTCACACTTTCTGTGGGTCAGCATTTAGTTCCTAGTGGGCCTTGCCGGCTGTTGACTGGAGGCTAGCCTCAGTTCTTTGACATGTGGGCCTCCCCAACATGACAGCTGGCTTCAGACAGAGAGAGTCTGTTAGCAAGACTGCTCACAGTCTTTGATAACCTAATCAGGGAAGTGACATCTTTTTGCTTTTTAAATTTTATTTTTAAAATTACAATGCAGTAAATTATCCCTTTTTGCTAAATTCTATTTTTAGAAGCAAGCCACTAGGTTCAGCCCACACACAAGGGGAGGGGATTGCATAAAGGTGTGACAACCAGGAGGCATGGATTATTGGGGGCCATCTTAGAAGTCTGTCTACCATGGATATCAGAGAACTATTTAATTTCAATTGTGAAAGGATTCCAGGAAAGAAGTGCTATTAGATTGTATAACAAGGTGTGTAAACTGCTATGGAGTCAAGAAAGAGCTTCATTGAAGAGGCGGTTTGGGCTGAATGTTAAAGGATGAACAAGACTTGACTAGGTGGAGGGAAGAGTGGGAGGAAATGGCCATATGAATACCCTGAAGCAGGAGAGTGCCAGGAAAGCCAGGGACATTATATGGGCCTAAGGAGATTTGGCAAGGGCCAGGTCCTGTATGGCTTTATGGACTTTGGTCTATTTTAAGAGCTGTCCCAAGATTCACCCAAAATGTGTGTGATTTTTTGCAGTCTAATTTTTTTTTCTAATTTTGCAATTGAAAACAGTGATGAGATTCCTGGAATTTACTTTGAACAAATGCATTATAAAATTAATAAATATATGAGTGCCTGTTATGTTCAGGATATGGTGCCTGACATTGAGGCAGACAGATTCTTGCTTTTAATGAAGGACATAAATAATACAAGGCTAATGTGATAAATCAGATCTAAGGTATATGTAAGGGTGATTTTTAACAATTTGAGAAGGAAGGGGAGATTGCAGCAGGTAGGGCTGGTCTAGGAAGGGTTCTTAGAGGGACGATATGATTTGGGGCTTTAAGAAGTGGTTATGTTAGCCAGGCATAAAAGGATGGTTTTGTTCAGAAAGTTCAGGGAAGGTGAGTACCTTCCCTGGGAGGAGTGAGTAGATCTTAATTTCAATGCCAGATTGATGAGTGTTTGCCGCTTTTTGGTGTAAAACTTTTATTTTATTTTATTTTTTCTTTTTTTTTTCTTTTTTCTAGGTCCCTTCATGTTGTAAGGTGTAAAACTTTTAGTCTTTAATTACCAATGACATGCCTTATCTTTCCCTTCTTATCAGTGAAGCTATTAAGTACCTCACAGAAGCTCTTCAATCCGTCAATGAACTAGAGCTTGAAGATAAACTGGAAAAGATTATCGATGCAGTTGAAAAGCAACCCTGTGAGTAGTATTTTCTGCTAACTCTTCAATTGTTAATATAGTTCTATATACTTGGTTAGATTTATAGATTTAAATTGAAGTTGAGGATTCAATATTAACATATCCTAGTGTTATAAGACATATGTATGATAGCATTTCTTCCCAAGGGGTAATACTTTTAGTTTAGCTGGAACCTCAAGATATTCCTCAAGGACCCGTTTACAGTTCCCCACCTGGTGGAGGTGTCACCATCTTTCCTGCACTTGACTTCTGATTTTGATCTGATCCTTTACGGTCACTTTTGTCTCTCTGCATGCCTGTTGCTGTGTCTTACTTAAGTTGGGTACTCCTGAATGTTTGAGGAGGAGGGAAAAGAAGAGTAGAGTAAGGTGAGCAGAGTTAACTCTCTTTCTGCTTTCTTAAGGGATTTTTTAAAAAAATGTTTCTGGAATGGCTAGTAATTTTTATTTAATTTTGTAAGCCTATAATAAAAAGCATAGGCAGTAACTTTTATTAATCAATAGAAAGCAATTCTACCAATCCATTGGTAATTAATATACTAAACAGAGTTGGAAAGCACTTTACTGAAAGTAAAATATTTACAGAAAATGAACTCAAAATTATATCATGTTTGTAATAAAAATAAGTGGATTTCAAGGAAAGCACAAACTTAATTTATAGAGCCAGTCCTTAAAAGATGTAAGAGGAAATGAAAATTTGCAGAATATATAAACATTCTACAAAAGATGGTCATTCTTGGCTTAGTGTGTTTGCTCATGCCTGTAATCCTAGCACTTTGGTAGTAGGTGAGAGGATTGCTTGAGCCCTGGGGCTTGAACCCAGCCTGAGTAACATAGTGAGACCCCCATCTCTACCCGCCCCCACCCCCCCCCAAGAAAACCACAATAATAAAAAAAAAAGAAATAAGAAAGATGGTCATTCTTTTCCTGAGTATACCAAAGTTCGGAAATGTAAAGCAACACAGAAAGGCGGAGGTTTGGGAACTCTTTTTCAGGGTCATTTTCTTTCTGCACACTGCTTCCTTCCTTCATAATTTTGTTTGGAAACCCACAATTGTTGAAAGGTGCCCAAAGAAGCTAGCATGGTGCCACCAATCCCTGAACTAAACCTCCATTCCACTTTGTATTATTTGTAATCAATTTCAGCTGTATACCTGGAGGAGTTTTCTGAGAGAGCTCTCTATTCAACCTATCAGTAAAACTGCTTTAGAGTGTTTACTCCAGCCACTATCACACTGCCTTAGAGAGTTAGGGATTTTTTTGTCAAATACTTAATCTTACACCACAAGCATGGGCCTACAAAGGAGAAAGGCTCTTCTCCTTGAAAAAAATGTCCAGTGTTTCTAGCACCCCAAAGGACAGGAATGAGTGTAGTTCACTCTGTTAAGTTGTATAGATGCTAGTCTCTTCAATTATATAGGAAAAACATGTTCTGTGATACAGGAGAAATTATATCATTTTCACTTCTAAAGGTAGAATTTATAATATATCTTTGCTTTTTAAAAAATTCCTTTAGAGTGGAAAATTTAGGAAATTATACTTGCCCTTATTATACCTTAAGATGGCACATGATATTTTGCCTGAGAGCACACCAAAGTAGTTAAGGGAGCACATGGTGGAATCAGGCCTGGGTTTGCTCTCTTCCTGTTCTAGTCGTGTTCTTGGGCAAGTTATTCTATCTCTCAAAGTTGCATTTTTCCCATCTGTAAGATATGGGAATATTATCATCAGTCTTATAGGACATCTGTCTAGTGGAACAATGGTTGCAAATAAAGTACTGAGCATAGTGCCACATGTTTACTAAATGCTTAATAAATGGTAGCTGTTGTTACTATTGTACTGTCATGCTTATTGAAACATAGCAGTTGTGATAAAGTTATATTAATGTAACCTTATTAGAACTGTGAGCTAACAAAAATGTTTCTATAACTAAATTTATATTACTAAATAATATTTAAGAAATTAAGGCATTTGACCCTATATTAAAGTATTATAACTTTATTTGAGTGTAGAAAATTAAGATATTTGAGATATGGCTTTGTTACTGTTCTGACCTATTACTATTTTCCTCCTAAAAACTATATAATGAGAATCCCAGGATTAGTGTTTGTAGAATATTTTTAGGAAAGGAGCTATATGTGGAAGGAACTAATTTTGATGCCTGTTTTAAAATCTGACTTTGAAATTCTCTTTGCAGTGTCATCAAACATGATTGAACGATCTGTAGTAGAAGCAGCAGTCCAGGAATGCAGTCAGTCAGTTGATGAAACTATGTATGTGGATAAAATCTACTTTTTCCCCTGTTGGAGGTGTTATTGAGCCCTTATTTTTAATTATTTTCTTGGGGAAATAATTAGTGATCAACATTTCCATTTCGGTAGCTGTCATTATTTCTGTGTTTCTTTTTAAGCAATGGCCTTCATTATAAACCTCATTATTAAGTGGCTCATCTTTCCTATTTTTTCCTAGGGTTTGAGATTATGATGTGGTTTGTACTATTACTAACTTTTGCAGCCTACTCAACCAATCTGACTTTATATTCAGTATGCTATGAATGAATTGAATTAAATTGAATATTCAGAAATATAATTTACTTTTGTTCTTAGGAAAGTGCTGAGCCCAGAGAATTTCAGCAGTGTAACTTGGTCACATGGTGAATGGCAAATGAAGGTAGAGCTCAGTTTTATGACTCTACTGTCTCATCTTTTTAGGTTTAAGAATTTATGTGGCAATAACTTTTCAGGGTTTTATTTTTGAGTATCCCTCTTTGCTTTCCTCCTTTCAAATTCATATGGTTTAATTAGAAGGAAAACACCAGGGAAAATGGGCAGAGAAAGAGTTATAACTTTAACAGTTCTTTCCTATTTGGGGCAATGGGGATAATTGAAAGAAGTCATTACCCTTATTTTGGTCAGTAGTTGTAATCTTTTCCCTGTCAGAACTTATTATAGCTGCTAAAAAAAAGAGAAAGAAATAGCGAAATTGAGAAATTTTAATTTTATCCTTGCAAACTCATTATTTAAAATACTAGAGTGCAATGACATGTCTCTAAAGCCATCAACAGAAATTCAAAGTGATTATACTGACGTTTAAGAATTATAGTCCTAGAATAGGCAGTACCTATTGTTTACCCTAAAATTACCTGTTATTTCTGTCAGTTTGTTTTTATGTTTAGCCAGCCAACATGGAGGTCCAGTGGGGACTGCATGGTAAAAAATCTTTGCAGCTTTGATTGTCAGAAAGTCATTATATCATAGCATAAGAGGGAGGCTCTTGTTTTTATAGATGAAGAGATTGTATAACAAGTTGAATAACTTCCCCAGATTAATCTACTAGGAAGTAATGAAGCTGTGTCTATAATCTAGATTTTCTTCAAGTATACTGATTCTTTGCCACTCTATGCTTGCTGTTACCACCAGGGCAGCATGAACTGTTTTTGACCATTTTCAATTTGGGAAATAAACATATAATTTTAGGGGAACTTGTTTTTTTTTTTTTAGGTTGGGATATTTATGCAATAGTGCTATGAATTTTTTTAAAACTCTTTTAAACATGAGTATGATACTAACAGTCTCTGAATTAAATTATTTTATTGATTTCCATCTCTAACAATATATATACTGTATAAATCTCAAGGATGTGGCCAGAATTTGGAGGGTTCTTTTACTATTGTACAACTTTTCCTGGAATGATTTGGTATAATATTTTGGATTTAAAAATTTAGTAAGTGAATCATACCTTTTAATAATATTGTAGCTCATAAAAGTAGTACATATGGGGAGACATTTTTAAAGATGTGACTATTTTATACATAAACAAATGTTCTTTTCAACAGATGACATTCTTTATTAGAAGTTAACTTGATTACTTTTTTTTCTTGAGAGTATTGGCAAGCTTTCTTGTCCCTTTAAAAGAAATACACAATCTAAAAATTTTACCCATGAAGTATTTTTGACATTATAATAAATTGTGTACATCACCTGAGAAAATGTGAAAAGTACATTATGTATGACAAAGGATTATAATAAAGTTATTGTATTCACCTACACTACTTATGTTTTAGTAAATCAAGTGTGTTTTCGTGGGATCTTTTTCAGAGAACATGTTTTCAATATCATAGGAGCATTTGATATTCCACGCTTTGTGTACAATTCAGAAAGAAAAAAATTTCTTCCGTAAGTATACCTTCTATTGCTTTTAAGTGAATTTCAAATGTACATTTCTTTCAGAAAGTATATAGTCTTATGTTTCACTTTTGGCCCACGTTTATATACCATGATAGTAAAAAATAGGGATTCCTTTTTTCTAGTCTGTTAATGACCAACCACCCAGCACCAAATTTATTTGGAACAGCAAGAGATAAAGCAGAGCTGTTTCGTGAACGATACACCATTTTGCACCAGGTAAGTTGTGGGAGGAGAATACTAGGGAAATTGGGGGAAAAAAGAGACTCCTTCAGTGTAGGAAAATCTCAGGGATATTTAAAAAATGCAATTTTGTAGTCCAAAGTTGGTTATTCAGTAGGCTTACTGGGATCTTTGTGACTGAAACCACATAGGGGATAAAGGTATTTTCCCCTTAGCAATAATGATGATAGTAAAAACAGTAGGTAAAATTTAATATATGATTTTGATATGCCAGGCACAGTGTTAGCACTTTACATACATTATTTACCTCATTTAATCTTCATAACACTAATACATGTGTAAGTACTATTACCATCCATGTTTTACAGATGAGGAAACTGAGGCCCAGGGAAATTTAGTAACTTGTCCAAAGATCACATCTAGTAAGTAGAGATAGGATTTGAATCCAGTCTGTCTGACTCTGGAGCCTGACCATTGCCTACTACACTATACTACCTTCAAGCAGCTTACAGCTTATGACATTAAAGGCATTTGCACAAATGTAATAGAAAGTAGAATTTTATACAGGCTATAAAAGAGATACAAACCGAATGCATTTGATGGAAAAATCAGAGAAACCTTAAAGGAAATGATGGCATTTGACATGGGCCTAGATTGCTTTGATCATGTGGAAATGGGAAAAAAGTAGTGGTAACAGTGCGAACAAAGACATAGCAAAAGGAAAAAATGGAGTCTGCAGGAAATGATGAGCAGTCAAGCAGCACCAGGTAAGTTTGGAAAGGCAAGCAGAAGCCAAACTGTGGGAGTGCTTTGGATGCCACCCTTGGGAGTTGAAACTCTGTTCTGGTCTAAGCAAGCAGCCTTGGAATCCCAGAGAGATTCAGTCACAGCTTCCTCTACAAGCAGGTTTTGGGAGGAATTCCAGTTGAGAGAAGACTTACAGGAGTCTATGGTTTTAGTCTTGGCATAAATGATAGCTTGAGTGAAGGAAGCAACAAGTGGGGTGGAAAGAGGGAACAGACTTGAGCAGTGGAAACCATAGCTCATGGGGACTGGTTGGAGGTGCGGGAGAAGTGAGGATGATTAACGCTTTGAGTCAGAGAGCACAATGGCAGGATAAGGATAATATGTTAACAGATGGGGAAAAGAGAATGTGGGTGATAATGGCAGGTTCTGTTTTAAGCATTTAAATTAAGGTTGCCAGGAGAGTATCAGGTGAAATGAACATCTGAGGCTAAGGAAAGAGATATGGGTGGGTAGTGAGAGAGAGATTCAGGGGGCATCTACATAGAGTAAAAAAATGGGATGAGACCCTGAGACAAAGAGAGGCAGATGAGAGAAAAGGAAAGAGGAGAGAGTATGAGGGCCAGGCAAGGATGGTGTTATATGGCAGAAGCACAAGAAGGCTTTAAGGAGAGGATGGTCAGCAGTAAGAAGCACTGAAAACAGGTTGAAGAGAATGAGCACTGAGGACATCCATCCTCTGTTGCTTCTATCGCTCACATAATGTTGCCTGATTGATCTTCCTGAAGTGTAGCTCTGACTACCTCAGGGGTTTTGCATAGAAGTCTTTCAAGGAAGTTTAGTGGCTATTGAATTAAATACTAATCATCTATAATATCTGAAATCTTCCATCACACAAATTTGGCCTAATCTCAACTTTTGCTCTAGTCATACTCTGTGCTGGAGCCAAAACTGAAATATGGCGTTATTGTTTCTGTTTCTTCTGCTTCTTCTATGACTTTGCTTATACTGTTGCCTGCTCTTCCCTCTCGTCTTTACTGTTGGAACCTTCCTAATTTTGAAAGGCCCTTCTCAGGTTCCTCCTTCTTTCTGGAGCCCTTGATCTCCAGTTGGATGCAACTTCCTCCTGCTTGAAACCCACCGAGGACTTTCATGTTTTTTATATCACTGAGGAAACTTGGTGGCCCTGTCTTGCATGTGGGGTGCTTACTCCTGTGATCAGAATATAGACTTCTTGTTTATAGACTCCTCTGCCACATTTAGCACTGCGCTTTTTACAGAGAAGATGCTCAGTAAAAACCACATTTCTTTTTTTAAAAATATGCTTTGAGGCTGGGCGTGGTGGCTCACGCCTGTAATCCTAGTACTGTGGGAGGCCGAGGTGGGTGGATGGCTCAAGGTCAGGAGTTCGAGACCAGTCTGAGCAAGATTGAGACTTTGTCTCTACTAAAAATAGAAACAAATTAATTGGCTACCTAAAATATATATAGAAAAAATTAGCTGGGCATGGTGGTACATGCCTGTGGTCCCAGCTACTCGGGAGGCTGAGGCAGAAGGATTGCTTGAGCCCAGGAGTTTGAGGTTGCTGTGAGCTCTGCTGACGCCATGGCACTCTAGCCTGGGCAACAGAGTGAGACTCTGTCTCAAAAAAAAAAACAAAATGCTTTGACATCTACTCTGTTATTGTGGGTGTGCTGCTTAGCCTTTCTGAGCCTCATTTTTTTCATCTGTGAAATAAAAGAATTTCAGTCCATTCATATTTTCCTTTTTGTTTTGGTTTGAGACAGGGTCTTGCTTTGTTGCCTAAGCTGGAGTGCAATGGTGTGCTCATAGCTCACTGCAGCCCTGAACTCCTGAGCTCATACAATCTTCCTGCCTAAGCCTCCCAAGTAGCTAGGACTATAGGTGCATGCCACTGTACCTTGCTAATTTTTATTTTATTTTATTTTTTGTAGAGATGGAGCCTGGCTATGTTGCCCAGGCTGGTCTTGAATTCCTAGCCTCAAGCAATCCTCCTTCCTTAGCTTCCCAAAGTGCTAGGATTATAGGCATGAGCCACTGGGCTTGGCCCCATTCATATTTTCATTGCCATTATCTTCCTGAAAACAAATCTGATTTTATCATTATTACTACTTCAAAATCTTTTGTCTTCCATTGTCTATAAGATGAACTTCTTATAGCATACTAAAGTCTGTATTCTGAGGGCTGTTTGACTTGGAGGTTATAGAAACTTGAACTGACTGAAACTGAGAAAGGAACATATGGCTTGGCTTGTATTATTGCCTGCTGGCATCAGGCATGGCTGGGTCCTGATGCTCACACAATGTCTTGAGGCATCTGCCTCTTTCCTTGTCCCAGCTCTTTTTTAAAAGTGATTTTACTTTCAAACAGTAAAAGTTCTCCCCATGGGGTGACAAAGATGGCCAATAGCAGCCTTACCAACTCTTGGAAAGAGAGTTCCTCTTTTCCAATAGTTCTAGCAAAAGTCTTGAATACGCCTCTTATTAGCCTGACTTGAAGCATTTGCTCATCCTTAAACCAATCACTGGCCAAGAGGATGGAGTACCTTCATTTTCTAGGCCTTGGTTTCCTGTCTATAGAAGTTGGGAAGGGGGTGTCAGCTCTTGCTGAACTCCATGGACTGAGATTGGGGAGGGATGGTTCCCCAAAGAGATGCTTTTACTAATCTCTTGCCGTATCTGACACTGTGCCTTATACACTCCATGATCCAATATTAAACTTTGCATAACTTCTGAAAGACTCTTTTATCCTTATAATTCCTCTGCTTGAAATTTCTTGTCCCAGCCCCCTTTGTTTGTTACTAGCCAATTCTTATTTATCATCTAGGATCTTGTTCAATGGCCCCTTTGGCCTAGGGCACAGTCCGTCCTCATAGTACTTTGTTGTATGGTGGTACTTCTCTTTCACTAGCCACAGTGCTCTGAGGGTGACACTTGCTTTGTTGTCTTCATATCCTCAGCCCAGGGTATGCTGCTGCCAGGCACACAATAGATCTTTTTAAGAAAAACATTTTTTAATTTGTAAAATTACATTACTAGATATTTATATGTTGTTAAATTATATGGGTTTTCAAATTTGTCAAGACTAGTTAATAGTAACATTAGTTTAAGGACAGTGTTTCATCAGGGTACTGTTTTAATAAATCTTAGTTTTAAATGTCCGTTTCAGTAATTCATGTGAATCTTTCTTTTTTATAGAGGACTCACAGGCATGAATTATTTACTCCTCCAGTGATAGGCTCTCACCCTGAAGAAAGCGGAAGCAAATTCCAGGTTAGAATGTTACCCTAGTTATTTAGGGGGTGTAAGTATACAAGTTTAATATTTATTGCATAATTCAAATTCACTCAATTTTAAATGAAAATCAACTACTAGTAACTGTTGAACTAGCTAACTGGTCTGGATGCATGTCCACTGCAGATATGATGCATGCCTAGTATCCTGAGTCCTACAGGTCTCTAATAAGATAGAAGCTATTCCTTCCTTATTTGGGAAGGCCCTAGTACCATGCTAGCCCCAGATAATCTCTGAGCTCCAAGACATTTTCCTAGTCCTCCTAGTCCATTTGCTGGATAACACACCGACTTTCTGACCAACTTTTCGACATTACGCTCTGCCTTCACTCATACTCCCAAAATACTGGTCCTTGCCCGACCCATCCCTCTAGTGACCACCACACAGATGTTCCATTAGAATGTGCTATATTGGTTGGAATGAAAACTTTCCTTAAGGTACTAAGGAAACAACATGTACAGAATGAATAAGAGTATACAGACTTGTCCCAGGGTTCTTGGGGCCTGAGGAACAGAGGAGAAAGGAAAATGTTTTCTGTTGATAAAAAGCAAAAGTATGTGCTCCTGCCACTTTTATACTCTTACTCTTGGAAAGTGGATAACAGACCACACTGTCGCTTTTGTTCCAGCAACACACCTGGCTGCTGTCAGTCCCTCTGTGGCTCCTTCCTGCTCTCTAGCATGCAGAACCCTGCTGGAGGAGAGTACCTAGCTACTCTAACCCATAACTGACTCATTTCCATGAGGTTTTGAATTAGAAGAGGCCTAGCCTCTTCTAATGTTCATTAAATTCTCTACCATGGTAGATCAGAATTTATGATGTTGAGTAGTCTGATAGAAACTAAAACAATGGTACTAGATAACATTCAAATTAATGTTTGATGGTAGCACTGTGAAAACATTTGTGGTATTTGACAGTTTCTGCTTTTAACTTTTATCGATATAAATTGTATTAGGTTTTACAAATTGACATTACTTATATTTCCCTACCAAAGACTGTCTCTACATTTTCTCTTATGTATTAGGTTTCCTGTGGTAACTCAGAAGCCCATAACCCAGGAGCATTTTTCTCCTTTCCTCTTTGCCAAAGTAATTTTAAGGCTTAGCTGAGTAATTTATTGTTCTTTTCAATCTTTTCAAAACTGTTTAATTCTGTATTTGTGATGGTATGTTCCTACTTAAACTGTATTTATAGTACCTGTATGATAATCTCCCTTCACAGACTACAAAAATGGTGTGCATAGAAACACTTCGCTATATCTTTGTACTCCTGTGTTGCTTTAGGTTCATGTTTTTAAGAGTAACTCTAATATTAAATGTTAACAGTGATTATTATAGAATAATGGGATTATGTATGTTCTTATGTTTTCCTTATTTTGTTAAGTTTTTTTTATAATAAACACATATTATTTGTAATAAAAAAATATGGTAAAGATAAAAGAAGCTCCATTTGGTAATTTCTAAGATAAGAATTTCTAAGATAAAAAATTATATATCCTTATATCCAGAAATTCTATTTCTAGAATTTGTAGAAGTTTATCCAACAGTTATATTCATGCAATGAGCCAAGAAAAGTACACAGAAATATTAAGTATTGTTTTTATTAGTAGAAAACTGGGAACAACTCAAATGTCTTTTCATTGAGGTTTGGTGAAATGAATTGTCTCATATATATCATAGCTATCTCTATCCATTAAAAAGAATGAAGTGAATTTATATGTAGTTAAATGGAAAGGTGTCTAAGAAAATATTAATTTCAAAAAGTTAAATTGCAGAATATAAATAATATGATTTCATCTTTGTAAATAAAAACTGTATAGATGTGTTTTATAAATTATATATGTATGTATTTACATGTATTAAGATTACATATAGAAGAAGAACAAAAAGATTTTTAAAAATAGTGTCCTGATTCTTATTATCTTTCCCTTTCTGATAAAAATATAGTGGTCAGATTAAGAATGTAGATAATAATGACACCCTTTAAAAATGCTAAGTAATGGCCGGTTGCAGTGGCTCATGCCTGTTATCCTAGCACTCTGGGAGGCCGAGGTGGGTGGATCGCTCAAGGTCAGGAGTTCAAAACCAGCCTGAGCAAGAGCAAGACCCTGTCTCTACTAAAAAATAGAAAGAAATTAGCTGGACAACTAAAAATATATATTTAAAAAATTAGCCAGGCATGGTGGCACATGCCTGTAGTCCCAGCTACTCGGGAGGCTCGCCTGAGCCCAGGAGTTTGAGGTTGCTGTGTGTTAGGCTGACGCCATGGCACTCTGGCCCAGGCAACAGAGTGAGACTCTGTCTCAAAAAAACAAAACAAAAACAAAATGCTAAGTAAAATTAGAATATAACCTTTTAAATAGCTCACTAATTTTCAAGAGGTACGGATCATATAAAATTGATATTCCTTTCTGTATTTTAAAAATAAATGTACTTTTTATTCAGAACGATATGGTATGAGACTTTAGTCACTGGTAAGAGCCTGAGTTGATATGGTTTTTCTTTAGGTATAATTCTTCCAGGCCACCATACATTTGATATTATAGTTTTTTTGTAAAATAAAATTAAACTTCCTAAGTTTAATTTGATTTTTTTACTGAAATGTGCACCCCAAATTTACTTATTTGTAAAAAGATTAGTTTCTTAAAAGAATATATTTCAATCTTTAAGAATTTATTTTGTTTTGAGTTGGGTGTGGTGGCACGAACCTATAATCCCAGTGACTTAGGAGGCTGAGGCAGGAGGATTGCTTGAGCCCAGCTTGAGCCCAGGATTGCTTGGAGACCAGCCTGGGCAACATAGCAGCATAGCAAGACTGTGTCTCTAAAATAAATAAATAAATAAATAAGAATTTCTTTTGTTTTATTTTAGCTTAAAACAATAGAAACCTTATTGGGTAGTACAACCAAAATTGGAGATGTGATTATTCTTGGAATGATAACCCAGTTAAAAGAGGTAAGTTGAACTTAATAAGCATCAAACTTTTATTTTTGGCCCTGGTTGGTTACATAGAGTATTTCTACAGAGGGTACAGGAATGTATTCTTCACTGAAGACTCACCTCAGTCACCAATACTTTTCTTTGTCTGTGTTTGGTTTCCTGAGTAGACATCAGGAAGGAGTGACTTGTCTGGGAGTCCAGTTTGTATAGCCTTAAATTAGGTCCATGGTGACCTCTGGATGAAGTGAGAGTACTGGGTTTTTGAACAAGCAAGCTGCAGACTACATCCTGGTCCCTTGGAGACACTGTTGGCTTTCTTAGAAGGACCTGGTGAGGCCCTCCTTACAGGAGCCTACTGGTGTTTTCTTGCTGTCCCTTCTTCTGCAGCAGTCTTTCCCTAGGCTACCTCTAAGAAGTCTGAGTCTCAATTAAGTCATTAGTCTGAGGTGACCAGGCTAGTAAATGAAAGAGCCTGGACTAGAAATAATAGCTGATTTTTGAAATCCACTATTCTCTCTACTGTGTTCTATTATCAATCTTGTTGGTAGTTCTTGTTGTGTCATAGTATTTATTTTTATATAAATGTATTTTCTTTTTTTTAGGGAAAATTTTTTCTGGAAGATCCTACTGGAACGGTACAACTAGATCTTAGTAAAGCTATATCCTTCACTTAATTTATTTTTTAAAATCTGTGTTACATGAATTGGGGAAATTGATTATATATTATTCTCAAATTTACCTATTTGCGTTCCCAGTGTAACTTTCATATGTTGGTGGATTAAGAATATAAAGACATAATCCTAAACAGAGACATAACAACTTTAATTCCCCCTTATTTTGGAGAATCCAGAGAAACCACTGAGGATGTTTATAACATGATAAGAATAATCCAAACTGTCAGTATTACCAAGCTACATCTTAGAATTAAACATGGGGACGTTTAAACCCCAAATTTTTAAAGCTATAATCTAAGCTATGTTTCAAATGGGAAGTCTTTGAATTATTATTTAGAAGTTCTATTGGGCTCAAAATGTCTGTTGACTTGATCACTGCCTCAAGCATAGAAACAGAATTATTTTCTTTAACTGTTGTTTACCAGTTCCATAGTGGGTTATACACAGAGGCATGCTTTGTCTTAGCAGAAGGTAAGTCAGTACACTTTTTCCTGTCCTCTTTATTGTTCTACACTAAAACCATTTTTACATGTTAACATAATAGAATTTGGGATAACATTGATTATGAAAACATATTTTTGATAATGACATAAAATAACTCTTAGACTGCAAATTGGCTAATAGAAGCCTTTTTAGGGTGATGAAAATGTTCTGAAATTAGATCATGGAGATGGCTATACAACCTGTGAATATACTAAAAACCACTGGGTGGGTGAATTGCATAGTATGTGAATTATATCTCAATAAAATTGAAAGTTATGTGGCTCAGTGGGTGGGCAACTTCTGTAGTTGGTTCACAGGGCATGAGAATATAGCTTAGCATTATTGATTTGTGTAACACAGTTTTTGTCCTTTCAAACAATTGGACAAATGAAAGTGATTTGCTGCTTATTTTTTTTTTTTTAGGCTGGTTTGAAGATCAAGTGTTTCATGTCAATGCCTTTGGATTTCCACCCACTGAGCCCTCCAGTACTACGAGGTATTAAAATATTTGATTTAAACTGTATAGGAATTTTGTAATACTGGCAGTAGTGAATGTAAGATAGTACATCATATCTCAATTATTAAAGTCTCAGGCTTCATGTCAAAATGGAAAGAATGATAGAAAATGAGAATTAGAAGGCTGGGTTTTATATGTAATGTGAAAACAAGTGGATCAGCCCTAGCTTAGTTGCAATACCATCTTTGTACTTTGGCTTCAACTGGGAAGGATTTCCAGTCTATCTGTTTTGTTTATCTGTGGGGTTGATGAGAAGTTCAAGTGAGATAAGAGAGATAGGAAAACACTTAGAAGAATATAATTCACATGTTAATATAAAGTTCTCATTTTCATAGACCACTAATGAATGAAAGTTCCAAGAAGCAGCTTATAGTTCCTTGATATAAGTAAAAGCATCATAATATCAGAGCTATTCCCAAAGGGCCTTCCCTGAGAGTTGAGCTATTTGGGCAGAAGCTGAGTGATGTAAAAGTTGTAGCTGGTGGCCTGTGGGTTGAAAGTAGCCTATAGACCTTTTTTTTTTCCTTCTCCCTTTGAGGCATTAAAATTTTTTAATTAGTTTTCAATGTATAAAAATTAGATTTCTGGCCAGATACGGTGGCTCATGCCTGTAATCCTAGCACTTTGGGAGGCCAATGTGGGACGATTGCTTGACGTCAGGAGTTTGAGACCAGCCTGAGCAAGAGTGAGACACCATCTCTATGAAAAAATAGAAAAATTGGCTGGGCATGGTGATATGTACCTGTAGTCCCAGCTACTCTAGAACTGAGGCAGGAGGATTGCTTGAGCCCAGGAATTTGACATTGCAGTGAGCTATGATGACACCATTACATTCTATCCAGGCAACAGAGTGAGACCTTGTCTCAAAAAAAAAAAAAATTTAAGAGATTTCTCATAAAGGTCTGGATTTCTGAGTTCTTTTGAACAACAGGATCTGGCAGCACGGCAACCTGAATCTTCACCTGGTAACAACCATACTGCAGTGATTGCCCACGTTGGGCAGGGCATGTAGTATGCCCTGGTTTATGTCAGCTGACTCCCACTTTGAGAATTTAAGTTACCCCACTGGACACTGTAAGCATTTGAGTTTGCTACCTCTGGGAGAATTAAAGTAGTTGCCTTCTAACCATGAGATTCTGTGATGGTGATTTCAAAGAGAGTAAGGATTTAGTCCTTGTATGCCTGTATAAATTCAGGGTACAAAGGCAACTTTCTGGCTGAGTGTCAGTGGCAGGGCAACCTTTGCAGAGCATTTCCTCTTCCTGTTGAAGTAATCAAGGGAAAGGTGCTGGTCATGCCAAGGAAAACACAAGCCCTTATCAAGCCAGCTTACCTCTAATTGAGTGCTTTTGGTGTAGTTTGTGGCTTTCTACATTACAGCAGGCTTTCTTTGGAGTATATTTAGAGCATAATTGCTGTGGTCTTGCTGTTTTCATTTTCTACAAGCTTCAAAATTACTACTTGGGAGTTACAGGTGTAATTGAGGTGGGTGGCCATGAGTATTACTACTCATTTCTCTTTAGCCAATAGAGTTCATCACTGTACAGTTCCAAATAATTTTCCATTTAAATTATGCCATTTTTCTCTAGATCCAGCTGTTTAGTGTGTGCTTAGTAGGACTGGCATGAGGTGTCATAAAGTACATTAAAAATAAAATAATTATTTTATTCCTGTTAGGATTTCAAATTACTTTTATGATGCCTTCAAAATATAAAATTCAGAGGGTCACATTCTGAGAGTAGTTGGTGGATTCAGCAACAAGTATTTTACTAAATACTTTTTTTTTTTTTTTGAGACAGAGTCTCACTTTGTTGCCCAGGCTAGAGTACTGTGGCGTCAGCCTAGCTCACAGCAACCTCAAACTCTTGGGCTCAAGTCCTCCTGCCTCAGCCTCCCGAGTAGCCGGGACTACAGGCATGCGCCACCATGCCTGGCTAATTTTTTCTATAAATATTAGTTGGTCAATTAATTTCTTTCTATTTATGGTAGAGACGGGGTCTCACTCTTGCTCAGGCTGGTTTCGAACTCCTGACCTCGAGCGATCTGCCCACCTCGGCATCCCAGAGTGCTAGGATTATAGGCGTGAGCCACCGCGCCCGGCCTACTAAATACTTTTTAATGTGTAAAATACTGTTTTGGGAGACAAATGAGTACTTATACAAATAGATCTACACTGTGGTCTCATCCTAAAGGGATTTACACTGACTTAATGCCTTTCCCACCATTGCATAGTTAATACTAACACTTCTTTTAGGATACACACTTACTGGGGCTTCACTAGCATCTTTCTAAGTCTTTTACTAGTACAGGGCATGTGACTTATGTTTTCTGAGCCCAAGGTGTTAGAGTTTATAGAATTCCTAGAATACTTCTTTTTTTCAAATTTGACAGTTTAGGAAAATAGGTACCATCAATCCTTCCTCTTATATTCCATGAACCAAGGATGGACTATGTTAGTAAGACTTTTCTGAGCTTTAATTGCTCAAGATTCAGCTTTAATAGGTGTCTCTTCTTGTGATGCTCTAGTTCTGCAGTCCCCAACCCCAGGGCTGCAGCCCAGTGCTGGTTAGTGTCCTGTTAGGAACTGGGCCACAAGTCACCGCCTGAGCTCCACTTCCCAGCCCCTCGCCACCCCTGTCCCCCATCTGTGGAAAAATTGTTTTCCATGAAACTTAGGAACCAGGAGCTGCAGAGCAGGAGGTGAGTGGAGGGTGAGCAAGCGACGTTTCATCTGTATTTACAGCTGCTCTGCTCCTCATCACTTGCATCGCCCTGAGCTTCACCTCCCTATTGTGTTTGCTTTTTAGGTGTTACAAATAGTACATTTGCGTCTATTTACACTGGAAAATAACTTCATTAGATACAAAGAAGCTAAATTTGTAAAATTATTAGAAAAAGATCTCCAATAGAATATAGGATAGGTGATAATAATTGTTATAATTACCTAGGGCATACTATGGAAATACTAATTTTTTTGGAGGGCCTTCTAATACATCTGTGAAGACTTCTGCAAAACTAAAACAACTGGAAGAGGAGAATAAAGATGCTATGTTTGTGTTTATATCTGATGTTTGGTTGGACCAGGTAGAAGTATTGGAAAAACTTCACACAATGTTTTCTGGTAGGTATTTTTTTTTTTCCTACTCTTTCTTGAACTCTTATGATGGTTCATGTCTTACAGTGCATGGTGGCTCACACTTGTCATTTCAGCACTTTGGGAGGCTGAGGTGGGAGGATTGCTTGAGCACAGGAGTTTGAGATCAGTCTGGGTAATATGGCAAGACCAAGTCTCTACAAAAAATTTAAAAATTAGCCTGGTGTGGTGGTACATGCCTATAGTCCCAGCTATTTGGAAGGCTGAAGCAGGGGGATTGCTAGAGCCCAGGAGTTCCAGGCTGCTGTGAGCTGTGATTGCAGCACTGCACCCTAGCCTGGGCAGCAGAGTGAGAACCTGTCTCTTCAAGAAAAAAAGGAATTAGTCCTAAGTATAGTATAAGAGAATGGATAAGAGCTTGGGCTTTGGCGTATGACAGAACTGGGTTTAATTGCCAGCCTAATATCTTGGTCAGGTGACTTAACCTAAGTCTCAATTTATTCGGATGTACTGAGAGTTAATTCAGCCTACCTGGTAAGTGCTCAATAAATCGGCACTGTTATTACTATTATTTAAAAACTCATGGTTAAAGGGTTTTTAAACTTGATTTCTAGACTAGAAAAATTATGTTCATTTACTCTTTTATTCCTTAGGCTATTCACCAGCACCTCCCACCTGCTTTATTCTGTGTGGCAATTTTTCATCTGTACCATATGGAAAAAATCAAGTTCAAGCTTTAAAAGGTACTGAGGGTCTATGTAATAAGTGTTTCTATATTTATATAAACTAATAAGTAGGTTATATCTAATCAAATATAATTTGGTTTTTATGTGTATATATACACATTAAACTTAATGTCCCTTTAAAATTTTAGATTCTCTAAAAACTTTGGCAGACATAATATGTCAATACCCAGATATTCATCAAAGGTAATGATCTCTACTGCTGTTTTTTATTCAAATGGTTTTGTTTTAAAAAAAAATAACCAAAAATGAATCCTACAGTGTTTTTTTTTTTAAGTTTTCGTTTTATTTATTTTGAGATGGGGTCTTGCTATGTTGCCCAGGCTGGTCTTAAACTCCTGAGTCAAAGGATCCTCCTGTTGGCCTCCCAAATAGCTAGGATTATAGGCACATGCCACCATGCCTGGCTGAACCCCAAGTTTTATATCAGCTACTATTAAACTAATAGAAGAAAAAGAAAGTGGAGAAAATTAAAAGAGCTAAGAGATAAAATTGGCCTCACATTGTGATAATATAAGTTATACTGTACTGGAGATTTATAGTGAAAAGTCTTGAGAGGGAGAGAGTGATAATTTCAACCATATTTTGAATTTCTTGGTGACATTACTCTAAATGGTCTACAGCGTCACCTTTCAGTATGATAGTCACTGGCCACATGTGTCTCTAAATTAAAGTTAAATTTAAAATTTAGTCTATCGGCCACACTTGCCACAGTACAAGCACTTAGTTGGACAGTGTAGATATAGAACATTTCTATCATCATACCATTAGACAGTATTGGTCTGGAGACTTGTAGTAGTTCCTTTATTAAAATATATGACATTTAAACATTTTTTTAAAATTCATGATTTTCAATTAAAGGGAATAACTTGTTTTGGTACTGGATAGTGTTACAATAATATATTTTTCAATAAAAAATTATGTTGAATTTTGCTATAGTAGTCGTTTTGTGTTTGTACCTGGTCCAGAGGATCCTGGATTTGGTTCTATCTTACCAAGGTAAGTTTTATTCAAATTTTTACAACAGTAAAGAAAATTTTTTAAATTTTAAAATATCTACCATATCACATAAACTGTTTTTATAGGCCACCACTTGCTGAAAGCATCACTAATGAATTCAGACAAAGGGTACCATTTTCAGTTTTTACTACTAATCCTTGCAGGTTAGTATCTTATGTTACACTTTTTCCCTTTCATTTAAAAATTAAGTTGATTCTTAAAATTTGTCTCTGAATTTTGACTGTTATGGAATAAATATAAAAAGAAAACTTCTTTTTGTTTTATATTTCTCAAACTTTGGAAATATTTTAACTATATTTAAATAATTCAATGTTGGTGCTGCTCACTGTTATCATAGGCTCATAATGTGGGAATAACCTAAGAGTCAGCCTTGGTTCTTTTCTTTTCTGCCTACATTCACTCCTTTGGTGACGTTATCCAGGGTCCTTTGGTTTTTTTTTTTTTTTTTTTTTTGAGACAGAGTCTCACTTTGTTGCCCAGGCTAGAGTGAGTGCCGTGGCGTCAGTCTGGCTCACAGCAACCTCAATCTCCGGGGCTCAGCGATCCTACTGCCTCAGCCTCCCAAGTAGCTGGGACTACAGGCATGCGCCACCATGCCCGGCTAATTTTTTTGTATATATATTTTTAGTTGGTCAATTAATTTATTTCTATTTTTGGTAGAGACGGGGTCTTGCTCAGGCTGGTTTCGAACTCCTGACCTTGAGCAATCCGCCCGCCTCGGCCTCCCAAAGTGCTAGGATTACAGGCGTGAGCCACCACGCCCGGCCCTTTGGTTTTATATATCATCTGTGTAGTGACACCTCCCACATTTATATTTCCACCTCAGACCTTTCTCCCAAACTCCAGACTCATGTATCTAGTTGCCCACTTATCATCTCCTCTTGGATCAAAGTGAACTGATCTTCCTTTCCTGCCACTACCTGCAACCTGTTCTGTAGTTTCCCCCATCTTAGTTTATGACACCTTTATCCGTCCAGTTGCTCAGGCCAAAAACTTTGGGGTTTCTCTCACATGTATTGATAGTTTTTCAGGAAGTCCTACTGATTTCAAAATATATCCAGATCTGGTCACCTCTCTATACCTCTACCTCCGTGACACTGGTTCCGTCTTCTCTAGCCTGGATACCTGTAATGGCCTCCTAATCAATCTCTAGTTTCTATTGCTTCCCCTGTGTAATTTATTCTTGATACAGTGTCAGAGTGATCTTCTAAAATGTTAGGCATATCCATGTCCCCCTTCATGATCCTGAAAGATGGAGCCCTCATGTCATTCAGTAACAGCCATATCCTTGCAATGATGATCCAGGCCCTGCATGGTCTGGCCTCCTCTTCCCTCTCTGATTTCCTTTCCTCATTTGCTCCAGTTGCACCAGCCTCCCTGCTATTCCTCAAGCATGCCAAGCATGCTCCAGTCCGAGGGCCTGTGCTGTTCCCTCTGCCTACATTGTTCTTCCTCTGGATATCTGCTTGACTGACTTCCTCCCTACTTCAAGCCTGTGCTCAACTCACACTTTATTATGAGCCCTGCTCATTCCTATCAAACTATTTAATGCTCCAGTCTTCTAGACCCTCCCTTCCCATGGATGATCCCTCTTTTTCTTTTTCCCATACACTTAGGCATCTTCTAACATACTATGTAGTTATTGTATTTATTGTTTATTTTCTGTGCCTCCCTCCCACTAGAATATAAACTGCATGAACGCCAAGATCTTTCTGTTCTGTTTGCTAATTGTTAGAAATAGTGCAGGCACATATTTAGAGCTCACTAAATAACTGTCAAATGAATGGATGACCAGAAAGACTAGTTGAATTTTTGCTCTGGTGAACAGTGGGAAGTGGGGATAGCTTTTTGACACTTAAAGACTTTTTGCCTTTAAAATTATCTGATTTTTTTTCCCTGACAAAATCAAAGTTGACTACTGTTTTCATTTCAGAATTCAGTATTGTACACAAGAAATTATTGTCTTTCGTGAAGACTTAGTGAATAAAATGTGCAGGAACTGTGTCCGTTTTCCTAGTAGCAATTTGGCTATTCCTAATCATGTAAGTAAAGAGTCTTCTTTATTAAACTATCTTACATGTTAACATTATATGCAGTTTTATTAAGTCACATAATTTCCCTTATGTTTATTTGTGGTTCAAAATAAACTGAACATCCTTTTGTCAGTAAGTTTTGTTAGTACAATGTTTCTCAGCTTTCTACTGAAGTATTCCCTAATGCAGCAGTCCCCAACCTTTTTGGCACCAGGGACTGGTTTCATGGAGGACAATTTTTCCACAGACCAAGGGTGGGGTGGGGGGTGTCATGATGGGGTCAGGGGGAGTTGGTGCAGAACTCAGGCTGCAATACACATGTTTCCTAATAGCCCACAAACTGGTACTGGGCTATGGCCCAGGGGCTGGGAACTACAGCCCTGATGGACAGAGGAAATCCCAGAACAAGCAGGAAAGTTCTTTGAAGCTTCCTGTTTTGGTTTTAAAACTCTCAAATTGTACTTCAAAATATATGTTTTAAAAAAATATTCATATGTACTGTTTATTATATATTTTATATAGTATGTCCATATCCAAAGGATGTACACTGTTTATCTTACAGCTTCAAGGTTTTTTGATACCCAGTTGTCAATCCTTGGTTATGTATACCTCCATCTGAGAAGTATGAAAACAGATCCTATAGAGCATTTTTATTATTCTAATATTATAAAATTATAAAGTTTATGTAGGCTAAATCTTGATTCCTGGCTTTACTCAAGCTATGAAACTATTTTTAGATGAACAGAATTAGTAAATGAGTTTATTATACAGCTAAAAGTACAATTGAACCAATATGACTATTTAGGGGAGTCACTTTTATGGCATATGGTATTAAATCAAAACTTATAGATATTTTTCCCTAAAATACAGAATTAATTCTATTTTATATCAGTGTTTCCCAAAGTTCTGTGATTCAAAGCTTTCCTAATTGTTTCACAAATTTTCTAGGTCCTTTTGCTAATTAATTTGAAATTATTTCACTATTTTCACTTCTACAAATGAACTTAAGTTTGCTTTGTTTTGTGTTCTTTTGTAGTTTATAAAGACTATTTTATCCCAAGGACATCTGACTCCTTTACCTCTTTATGTCTGCCCAGTGTATTGGGCATATGACTATGCTTTGAGAGTGTATCCTGTGCCTGATCTACTTGTCATTGCAGATAAATATGATCCTTTCACCATGACTAATACTGAATGCCTCTGCATAAACCCTGTAAGAATGTAGTTGACCTTACATAGTCATTAGTTGTCAAGATTAGAGCACATTTAAATTTAAAATACATGATAAAATTATTATTGGAGTAAAATTATACTATCAATGAAACATTGACTTAATTTGGTATACACAGAAAGTTCTTAAACTTTCACGATGGTATGTGACTATAAAGTAATGTGACCTGTTTTAAAAAAGCAAGTGTATCAGAACATATAAATCCAAATGAGCATTTTCCCCTTCAAAGTAACTTATCTTGGGATTCCTTATTGAGAACTGCCTTCAGATCCCGTGTCCCATTCTCTTGTAACATATTGATGGTACTTGTTCTCTGAACATGATTTTGATTTTTGGAAATTGCCCAAGTCCCAAAAATCTAAGTCTGATGAATGCAAGAACTTCATTGGGACACATTTTATTATTTTATTTTTTATGTAGAACCTTGAAATTTCTTCAGAATCTTGAGGTTGCTTCAGAATTTCTACAGTAGTATGGTTGACTTTTTGACCATGGGGAAAAAATACTTCATAAACAATGACATACACACACTTTTTTATATCAAGCAAAATATTATTAGTGATTTTTAATCTCCATGCTTCCTTGATTCTTGTGAATTTTAGACTTTAATACTTTTTTGTTTAATCTGTAATCCTTATTTTTGGTTACTACTTTCCCTTAAACACATTTTATTCTGCTTCCTCTAAGACACAACTTATCAACCTCAGCATATTTGAAATTTTGGACCAAGTAATTCTTTGTTGTAGGGGTCGTCCTGCAAATTTTAAAATGTTTAGCTGGCCTCTGCCCACTAGAGGCCAGTAGCATCCCTTAGTTTTAACCATCAGAAATGTCTCCAGACATTTGCCAAATGTCCCCTGAGAGACAAAGTCATGCTGGTTGAGAACTACTGCTCTAAGGATGAACATAGTTAACTGATTTGGTTTCATTGCTTGAATTTTATGACCTGATTTTTATATACTCTTTATTCACATTCAAATATTCTTTCAAAATTTGGCTGTTTCCTTATCTAAATTTATCTTTGGGCATTCTCATAGTTAATGCTCTATTTGAATATACCTTATTTCTGAATTCTTCTATTTTTTTCATCCTATAAGTAAGTAAACAACCACCTCCTACATATTGCTATATCTTTTTTACCTTATTTATATCTTTTGGGCAAGCTCAAAACTTGCTTTTTTGAATTATTAATTTCATTATTTTTATTTTTAAATTTGAATTTAAATAAAGATGGGGTCTTGCTCTTGCTCAGGCTGTTCTGAAACTCCTGGCCTCAAGCCATCCTCTGGCCTTGGCCTCGCAGGATGCTGGGATTATAGGTGTGAACCACCACACCTGGCCTCAAAACTTGCTTTTGACATTACTTCATCCTTTCTTGATAACATACACATTAATGAATGCCTGCCATAGGCCAGGCATAGGGTTAGGTGCTGGGCACACAAATACTAAAAAGACAGGGCTCTGCTCAGTAACTTTAGAGTTATTGGAAAGACATCAAACCCAGATCTTCACTGGAGGGAAGAACAGGAAAGACATCTTGAATATGATGTCTGAGTGTCTCACATACATTTTTAGCATTACACAGTTCTGTTTATTTCTTTTTTATTTTTTTTTATTTTTTATTTTTTTTGAGACAGAGTCTCGCTTTGTTATCCAGGCTAGAGTGAGTGCCGTGGCGTCAGCCTAGCTCACAGCAACCTCAAACTCCTGGGCTCAAGTGATCCTACTGCCTCAGCCTCCCAGGTAGCTGGGACTACAGGCATGCGCCACCATGCCCGGCTAATTTTTTATATATATATCAGTTGGCCAATTAATTTCTTTCTATTTATAGTAGAGACGGGGTCTCGATCTTGCTCAGGCTGGTTTTGAACTCCTGACCTTGAGCAATCCGCCCGCCTCGGCCTCCCAAGAGCTAGGATTACAGGCGTGAGCCACAGCGCCCGGCCTGTTTATTTCTTATACTAAGTAGAGCCACTCCTGAGCATTTCTGCCCACATCTGTTAGCATAAGACTATCTAGCCAACTTGTAAGACTTTTGCTTCACGTGGAGATATTTGATAGTAACATCTTTACATGCTAAAGATCATGTAAAAATCTGTCGTATTACTTTATAGTCACAGCTTGTAACTTTAAGTCATGACCAAGGAATTTGATTTAAAAAATAGGGATTATTTTATAAAAGTTGAGTATTCACTTACAGACATTTTTCTCCCCAAAGGGTTCTTTTCCAAGAAGTGGATTTTCATTCAAAGTTTTTTATCCTTCCAGTAAGACAGTAGAAGATAGGTAAGTGTGTCCACAGAAACAGCAAGAAGGAGCTTTCTCTTGGTATTATATTGCTAAAAAGCAGATGTTCTGTCAGTGTGCTGAGATCTTTAAAAATGTCTGCAGTGGCTCACTGGAAGTGTTCCAGGCTGAGCTTATTGTGATTATGCTATGTAACATAGAATTGTACGTGCTTGATGGTAAGTTTGTGTTAAAATAGATAAGAACTGCTTCCTGTGGGAAACCTCAGACCAGCTATGGAGTGGCTAGTTCTCTTGCATGCTGGCTCCTGGTGATGAGCTTATTCTTCCCAGAGGTCAGCCCTGCCCTCCATATGGTTGATTCTAAAACCCAGGCAATTTGTCTTAAATTGACAGCAAAGAAGTAGTGGGGAGCTGTATGTGAGTTTGGTGGTGGTAAGGTGCTGAGATAACCTCAGGAAGGTCTTAGAAACAAGTAAAAATAATCACCTGGTGGGTAGTGGTTTTCATAGGGTGATCAATAGATCACCTGCATCAGAATTCTCTGGAGTGCTGCTTAAAAATGTTAAGGTCCAGGATCTTACTCCAGACTAATCAAATGGCTCTCTAGAGATGTAGAGAATATGCATTTTTAACACTGTTTCCCTCAGATTCAGTCATTCTAATATGTGATTTCTCAGATAACTAATATTTTGAAAAAGCTCCCACCCCTAACTAAGAACAAGTGACCAAATCAAATAACTACTCTCCAGGTTCTTGTCAGAGAATATAATCTTGAACAAACAGCCAGCCTTACTGTCTTTCTTTTTTTATAATTAACATATTTATTTAAATAAAAATGAATACAGAATATAACATGAATAACAAAAATTTCAAAAAGAGGCTAGACACCGTGGCTCACACCTATAATTCTAGCACTCTGGGAGGCCTAGGTGGGAGGATTACTTGAGGTCAGGAGTTTGAGACCAGCCTGAGCAAGAGTAAGACCCCGTCTACTAAAAATAGAAAATATTATCCGGGTGTGGTGGCATGTACCTGTAGTCCCAGCTACTCAGGAGGCTGAGGCAGGAGGATCACTTGAGCCCATGAGTTTGAGGTTGCTGTGAGCTAGGCTGATGCCCCAGCACTCCAGCCTGGGCAAAAAAAGAAAAAGAAAAATACCTCTGCTTCCCAACCCTGAAACCATGATTAACAGTCTCTTATATCTATTTCCTGAAAAAAAAGTTTATGTATATATTCTTCCTGCTCAATACTCATGAAGGATGTTAGTCCATTCATTCTGAGATTCTCAAAATTTTATTCTTGAATTCACCCATTTGACATACAGTTAGTTGATTCTTACTGTATTCCAGGCACTGCTTAGCTATTGGAATATAAGCAGGCACTCTCATAAAGGTCACATACATTCTAGCTCCTTATTCTGTAAGCCTAACATGTGTTTGACTTTACCTAGCCTATACCGAATACTAAAGAAAAAAATTGATAATGCCTTTAGGTAAGGATACATGTTTTTCTCCAGCTCCACCACTCCAGTTGTCTACACCTGGACACCCAAAGGGCATTTGATTTGTGACCCCAGGATTAAATCAGCTGTGAGAGCTGTCAGTCTAGAGCATATTGTCTTGTTCATGTTTAGATTGACTTTAACTGAACTAAGATTTGGTATAAAACTTAAGTCTGCTATGAAAACCAGTACTGGGAGCTTTCGGTATGTCTCAGGGTAAGAGAAATCTATCTGTCCCAAGCAACGGTTTAATCTTAGGAAGACTGTAAATTCTTAATTCTTCCTTTGCTTTAACTGTTAGGAAGCACATCCAAATTTGCATTTCTTATAATGTTCCCAGATTGCCATGTAGAATTGTTTTGTGTTCTGTGCACTTTATACAGATTTCTATTACAGTCTTTTTTTTTTTTTTTTTTTTGAGACAGAGTCTCGCTTTGTTGCCTAGGTTAGAGTGAGTGCCATGGCGTCAGCCTAGCTCACAGCAACCTCAATCTCCTGGCTCAAGCAATCCTTCTGCCTCAGCCTCCCAAGTAGCTGGGACTACAGGCATGCACCACCATGCCCGGCTAATTTATATATATATTAGTTGGCCAATTAATTTCTTTCTATTTATAGTAGAGACGGGGTCTCGCTCTTGCTCAGGCTGGTTTCGAACTCCTGACCTCGAGCAATCCACCCGCCTCGGCCTCCCAGAGAGCTAGGATTACAGGCGTGAGCCACCATGCCCGGCCTCTATTACAGTCTTTAATGCACTGTATTAGAAGTCATTATGTACTAGTCTACCTGCAGCCAAAAAAAGGAAAAAAAAAACAGTTCCTTCCTAAAATTTTTAGTATAGTGTCTAGCATAGACATCATATTTGATGCTGTAGAATTGAAATAGTTGGTTCTTTTCTCCTATGTGGTCTTAGATGCTTAAGAACCTTGACATAATTTCCAAACTATAATTTAGTATTGGTAACTTGGGAATCTTTTCAGTGCCAGATCAAACAAACTGATGTATGTTTATTTTTTGAGAGAACAGAAAAAAATTTCAAGATATATTGAAATAATCTGGACTTCCTGCTGCTTAGCGTCTCTTTTTTTTTTTTGAGACAGAGTCTTGCCCGGCTATTTTTTTCTATATATATTTTTAGTTGTTTGGCTAATTTCTTTCTATTTTTAGTTTTCTTTTTAGTTTCCCTCTTGCTCAGGCTGGTCTTGAACTCCAGACCTTGAGTGATCCTCCTGCCTTGGCCTCCCAGAGTGCTAGGATTACTGCGCCTGGCCTCTTAGGAAACCTTTTGTTAGAATATTTGTGAAATCATATTATGGAATTAATCACAGAAATGTAGTCAAAGGAGATAACTCCATTTCAATATGTACTTTCAAATAGTTTTATTAAAAACATAATTATTGGTGATGAAGTAGGGGAAATATACATTCTCACACATAGTTGATCAGAATGAAAACTGGTAAAAACGTTTATGGAGGGCAATTTGACAAGATATATTAACACCTAAAATGCATATACCAGCAATTTCATTTCCAGGAATTTATCCTACAGATATACTTGAGCTTATGCATAAAAATAGGTACAGTTGTTTTTATTGCAGTTTTATATCTATTTATACTTATTCAGAACTTTCTAATTTATTTAAATTTCAAAGCCTTAAAGGAAGGACTTAGTTAACTTATAAATATAATGTATTTACTACTAATTGAAAAAGGTGTATAAAATATACGTAATATTGTGTTATGTGCTTTTAAAGCATAAACCTACATATACACATGCTTATATATGATTAGACTATCTTTTTTTTCACTAGACTACCTTTACAAGGGTATACAGTTGCTTTTGGGGAGCCAAATGGGGTATGCAACTACTTACTTTTTAGTGTCCCCTTTTGAATTTTGAACAATGTACATGTATGGACCTATTTTTACAATTGATTAACTATAGCTAAATATGAAGAAATGTACAATAATTTAGGTTTCCAAAATGTTTAATTTTATGATTTTTCTATTTCCAGCAAACTTCAAGGCTTTTAAGATTCTTAAAGACAATCTGAAGAAACAAAATTCATCAATTTTCTGCTTAATTCTACATTTTATGTAATTTTGACATTAAGTTACAATAAAAGTATGGTAAACTTTAGAATGTTCTGCTTCAGTTTGTATTTTATGAAATTTTGATGTGAAGTTATAACAAATATGACAGTACACTTTAGAAAATTTTCTAGGAAAAATATTTTCTGCAACATAGTGAGACCCTGTCTTAAAAACAAAAACACCTATGTGATAGGGTAATTTAAAACTTTTTATTATATAAATTCATATAGAAAAAAATAGAAAACATAAGCAAGCATAAAGAAAAAAAGTTTTAATGACTTGTAATTCCACTATCAGATATTATGTTTATATTTTGGTATATATCGAGATTTTTCTCTATGCCTAGTTTTTTTCCTATAAAAATATTTAGGTTTCATACTATACATACTAAACTTGTTTTTTCCTTTACTATATTCATTCATTACATACCTGAGTGCCTAATATGTTCTAGGCACTGGAGAATCCAGTGTTAAACCAGAAAGGAAAAGTCCTAGATCTCATGATGCTTACACCTTCAAATGGGGGAAGCTGTTCCCTAAAACAAGAAAACACCAAATATGAACCACGGTGAAAATAAAACTGATGTGGGCGATTTTATATGGGGTGTTGGAGGTGGGAGAAGCATGTCACAGGGAGTCACTAAGGTGGCATTATGCTCTTGAAATTCAAGGGCCTGTGGTCAGGCTGTAGAGGAACCAAGAGTATTCTGACATTAGGCTGATCCAGTGGGAGAAAATTAGATGGTGAGCGTGGAGATGGTTAGGGATCAAATGTAGTAGATACATGTAAGGAATTTGCATGTGAAGCTACTTGAAGGTTTTCAGCAAGGAGTAAACTGATTTGGTTTTAAAGATCACTAAGGCAATTGTGTGGAGAAGATCTCATCAGAAGGGAAGAGCTGAAGAGACCAGTAAGAAGGCTATTGCAGAAGTATGTGATGGAGATCATGGTGGCTCAGAGCAGAAATGGAAAGTAAGATATAGTTGGGGTGTGTCGGAAGAGACAATAGGACTTGGTAGCTCAAGGCAGGTCAGGGTGAGGCAAAGAGGAATCAAGGATTACCCTTAGGTTTTAGGCTTAAGTAGTTGTGCAGGTGGCAGTATTTACTGAGACTAGGGAAACATACGGTTTGAGATGTGAAAATTAAGATTTCTATTTTTAATATGTTAATTTGAGATGCCTATCAAACATCCAGGAGAAAAAAATCTAGCAGACAGTGGCATGCGAATCTCTTAGAGCTCAGTGGTCAGCTAGGACTGAAAATACACAATTTTGGAGTCACTAGTCTCACCCCACATATGATCCATGAAGGCAAAGTTTGTTCTTTTTTTACAAGTACTTTTTTTTTTTTGAGACAGAGTCTCACTTCGTTGCCCAGGCTAGAGTGAGTGCCGTGGCATCAGCCTAGCTCACAGCAACCTCAAACTCCTGGGCTCAAGCAATCCTCCTGCCTCAGCCTCCTGAGTAGCTGGGACTACAGGTATGTGCCACCATGCCCGGCTAATTTTTTCTATATATATTAGTTGACCAATTAATTTCTTTCTATTTATAGTAGAGATGGGTCTCCCTCCTGCTCAGGCTGGTTTCAAACTCCTGACCTCAAGCAATCCACCTGCCTTGGCCTCCCAGAGTGCTAGGATTACAGGCGTGAGCCACTGCGCTCGGCCTACAAGTACATTTTAAAACTTTTTAAAGTATAAGAGGCCGGGCGTGGTGGCTCACGCCTGTAATCCTAGTTCTCTGGGAGGCCGAGGCGGGCGGATTGCTCAAGGTCAGGAGTTCAAAACCAGCCTGAGCAAGAGCGAGACCCCGTCTCTACTATAAATAGAAAGAAACTAATTGGCCAACTGATATATATATATAAAAAACATTAGCCGGGCATGGTGGCGCATGCCTGTAGTCCCAGCTACTCGGGAGGCTGAGACAGAAGGATCGCTCGAGCCCAAGAGTCTGAGGTTGCTGTGAGCTAGGCTGACGCCACGGCACTCACTCTAGCCTGGGCAACAAAGCGAGACTCTGTCTCAAAAAAAATAAAAAATAAAATATAAGATACATAAAGTCCCCTATTGTACAACTCAATGAATTTCACAAACTGCAAACCCAATGAAACCAATACCAAGATTGAGAAACAGACCCCCCCACCCTAGAAGCTTCGCCTTGCTCTGTTCCAATCACAACACCCACTCTCCCTCAAAAGGGCAATCACTAGCCTGACTTCTAACAGTTTTAAGAATTACTTTGCCAAGTTTTGTCTATTCTATAATGGAGTCATACCGTATGTATTATTTTGCATCTGGTTTCTTCCACACCAACATTGTGTTAATGATGTTCATCCATACTGTTGCTGTATATTCGTTTTATGTTTATTGGCCATTGGTATTTGTTTATGAATAGCCTGTCCATATCTCTTGCCTCAAATTAGTTTTTATTGGGCAAATTTTATGGTGGACTATTCAGAAAATGGAAAAGACAAAATTAAGATTGAAATGTTATTAATAGTTAACTAAGTGAAAAAAGGCAGACAAACTTAGGTTTGAATTGCAGCTTTTGAATACACTCGCTATGTGACTCTGATCAGGTCCCATCTTGTTTGCAAAATGGGGATGAAGTTTATCTTAAAAGTGGTGTGAGCAATGAATGGGATAATATATATAACGCTGGAAATTATGACAATTATTACAATAGCCAATCTGCAGAAGTAACTGCACCGTGGCACTGGAATCTAAAAAACGTAAAGTCGGGTGGTTGGTTGGTTTGAAGAAAGTAAAAGGCTACTTCTGGCTTTTCCACCATCCCATTCTCATTTCTTTCTATCCCTCCTCCCCGGTGTTGGTGGTGTCACTATGGCAACGAGCACGCGCTGCCCAAGGCTCAATCTTCTAGGCGTTAACGACCTCGACCTCTTCAGTCTAGGTGGCCCAGAGACTGTGCGGGCGCACCCCACCCACCCGGTCTCGGATTGATGATCTCCCTTGGCTCCAAGGCGCAGAGCCACAGGACAGAATGGCCAAAGCGGCAGCCTCCTCGCCACTGGAGGACTTGGACCTGAGCGGAGAGGAGGTCGAACGGCTCACCTCCGCCTTCCAAGACCCGGAGTTCCGGCGACTGTTCTCCAAGTACGCAGAGGAGCTCACGGACCCGGAGAATCGGCGGGTGTACGAGGCGGAGATCACGGCGCTGGAGCGTGAGCGCGGAGTGGAGGTGCGGTTCGTGCATCCGGAGCCGGGCCACGTACTGCGCACCAGCCTGGACGGGGCGCGGCGCTGCTTCGTGAACGTGTGCAGCAACGCGCTGGTGGGCGCGCCGAGCAGCCGGCCCGGCTCCGGGGCGGACGGGGCTGCAGCGCCTGGCAGCCACTGGTCCCTGCCCTACAGCCTGGCGCCAGGCCGCGAGTACGCGGGGCGCGGCGGCACCCGCTACACGGTCTACGATGTGGTCTTCCACCCCGACGCGCTTGCGCTGGCCCGGCGTCATGAACGCTTCCGCCAGATGCTGGACGCCACGGCCCTGGAGGCAGTGGAGAAGCAGTTCGGCGTGAAGCTGGACCGCAGGAATGCCAAGACCCTGAAGGTCAAGTACAAGGGGACCCCGGAGGCCGCCGTGCTGCGCACGCCCCTGCCCGGGGGCGTCCCAGCCCGGCCCGAGGGGGAGCCGGAGAGCCCTCTCCCGGATTTCCCCTACCCCTACGGGTACCCAGCACCCGCCGGGGACTCTGCAGTCCCCCGGGCCCAGGCGCCCCCACCTCCGGAGGCGCTCTTGCAGCCCGCCCCCACCGAGCCTCGCCACAGCGTGGTGCAGCGCCACCACGTGGACCTCCAGGATTACCGCTGCTCCCGGGACTCTGCCCCAAGTCCCGTGCCCCACGAGCTGATTGTCACCATCGAACTGCCGCTGCTGCGCTCTGCCGAGCAAGCGGCGCTGGAGGTGACGGGAAAGCTGCTGTGCCTCGACTCAAGGAAACCCGACTACCGGCTGCGGCTCTCGCTCCCGTACCCGGTGGACGACAGCCGCGGCAAAGCGCAGTTCAACAAGGCTCGGCGGCAGCTGGTAGTCACGCTGCCGGTGGCGCTACCGGCCGCGCGCCAGGAGCCCACTACGGCCCCGGAAGAGCCCGCCGGTCGGCCCGGAACTGACGGCGCGGCCTGCGCTTCCGCCAGCGACGGGGAGGCGGGACCGGCGGGGGGTCGTTCCGGGGACAGCAGCCCGGATCCCAGCCGAGCGGGGGCTTCAGACGCCGGGGTCACTACCCCGAGCACCCCCGAGCCGGCGCTGCTGCCGGCTGGTGCTGGAGAGCAGCTTGTCCCCGAGTCGGGGGAGCAGGACTTCGGCTCGCACGCGGTGTCTCGCGGTGGGGAGAGGCCGGCTTCTGGAGCAGAGAGTTTACCTGGTGGCACAGGCTCCCCTTTTACTTCATCGCGGGGCCTGGACTTGGAGTCTTCTGTAGGAGATCTTAGTGTGGAGACGCGCGTGGACCGGGAGGGCTCGGGCAGCGAGTCCTCTGACCCAGCCATGTGTGGTCTCGGGACCGAGAGAGGGGAACCTTTGCGTCCTCCTTTGCTGTGTAATCAGAAGACAGAATCCTTGACTCTGCTAATTCAAGTGCCTCGGATCCAGCCGCAAAGTCTTCAAGGAGATTTGAGCCCCCACTGGTACAAATTGCGCTTCTCCACACAAGACTTAGTTTATTCCTTCTTTTTGCAGTTTGCTCCAGAGAATAAATTGAGTACCAAAGAACCCGAGATTAGCATTTCTTCAAACAATGCAGTGATAGAACTGGCCAAATCCCCAGAGAGCCATGGACTTTGGAGAGAGTGGTATTATGGTTTAAACAGCGATTCTTTGGAGGTAACAGTTCTTCCTAGAGTGTTAATATTTGAAATATTCCATATCGGTTTCAGAATTTGCTATTACAGATACCCTCTCAGTTTATCTTAAAACATTCTACATTATAACTTTTTTGGTAATGACTTGAAATTGGTGCATGTGATGAAAGATGTCAGTGTTAAACGTATTTTGAAAAAAAGAAACTTAAAACTTACTTTCATCCTTCCTGGTGGATGGGTTTCAAATCTTCAAAGTTCCCCCTAATGCAGTTGTTTTCTTGGGATCCACTGACTTGGAAGGAGACCATGAATGAATTCTTAGGGATTGTAGACTTCTAGAATTGTATGCAAAAAATCTAGGGTGACATCTTCTGGGGAGAAGAGCCATAACTTCAGTCATATTCTCAAAGAGGTTTGTGATACAAATGTTTAAGGAGTACTCCATAATGACCATCTTTGCAGTTAAATCACTTTTTCCGAGCTAGAAAATTAATAAATTTACTTCCAGAGAGGAAAAGTACTCAGCCAGTGCCACACAGTTCTTATCTGGGAAAACAAACTCAAGCCAAAGTGAATCTAAATCCCATGCCCTTTCCACCATATAGTGCTGCTTAATTTTAGTTGCTGATTTTGGTGGGATCGTCCTCTGGTGGGCACTATATTGAAATTATGTCTTTTTGTATCTATTTTAATCATGTTTGGGTCCCTGCTAGTATTTGGCACAATGGCTGGCATTTAACAAAGTGTAATAAATATTTGTTGAACTGAACAGCACCTACTTTAGCTATGCCTTTTCTGGCCGAATACTGTAGAACTGGGCTGAGTATTAACTGTTTTACTGAGGATATAATTTGATGAATAATTTGGTATGTCCTGTTATAGTTGTGCTATACTCTTTAGGTTTTTGAGGTTCTTGAATTACAGATTAACACTCCACTATTATTGGCAAATGTTGAAAAAACTGTTTAACATTTGAGGTTCTAAAAACTCCTTAAATTTATGAACAGTTGGTTTTGATTGAGGTTTGTGCTAATGTTGCATGTAATTTTTTTTTTTTTTAGTTTTTTTTAACATATTCAAGAGTCAAGTTCTAAGAAACAACACTAGTTGCACACATTATATATTAAAAATTAAGTATTTGACCTGGGGCTTTAACCTGCCAGAAATTTACACTTCTCCTTGTTGTTTTTCTACAAATTATTTTCTAGAAGTTACACTCATATTTTATGATTTGGGTGTCTGTGAGAAGTGGTTAATTTAAAACTCTCCAAAAGGGGTAAATTCAACAGCCAGACTAGGTAAAATTGTTAGAATATAAGATAGGAAATTGGATATCTGTTTACTTCAGAGGAGGGAAATTTAGGAAAGGACATTCGTTTTTCTGTAATTGTTTTAACAAATATGAAAACAACTTACAATGTGGGAAGAAAACTTTATGGACCAGCAGTTAAGATAATATTCAAGAATACATTTGAATCTGATTTTTCTAGTATGCTAGCAAAGAAACTAGACCAAAATGGAATTAGAGCAACTGTGTTTTATATCTTTGAAACCTGAAACTGATTTATAATGACTTCATTAATTATTACATTTGATAAGGTTGATGGAACTATACTGTCCAATTCTTTTGCTTAATGTTGTACTGGACCAGGCTCTAACTATTAAAGTAAAAAAAAATTTTTCTTTTTCCACTGTGCAACCCGCTTCAGTGCCAGGAGCCTACGGGCACAGGCCAGGTTCGGGGCATAGTTTGCTCTGGCATGGGACACTATGAGAGGCCCAGGGGTACAGGCCTGCCATAAATCCAAACCCATGCACTTAAAGTAAATTTTTAAGAAAAACTATGAGTGGCGGGGTATATGATATATAATGATCATATTATATGCATTATGGCAGCAGTTCCCAACCTTTTTGACACCAGGGACCAGTTTCATGGAAGACAATTTTTCCATGGACTAGGAGTGTGGGGGAAGGTTTCAGAATGATTCAAGCACATTACATTTATCGTGCAGTCAAACCTCCCTGCTAAAGATAATCTGTATTTGTAGCTGCTCCCCAGTGCTAGCATCACTGCCTCAGCTTCACCTCAGCTCATCAGACATTACAGTCTCATATGGAGTGCCCAACCTAGATCCCTCTCATGCACAGTGGGTTGTACTCCTATTAGAATCTGATGCCTCTGCTGATTTGACAAGAGGCAGAGCTTATGTGATGATGTGAGCGATAGGGAGCTGCTGTGAATACAGATGAAGCTGCTGTGTGGCCAGCTGCTAACAGGCCATGGCCCTGTACTGATCTTTGGCTCTGGGTTTGGGGACCGCAGCATTATAGGAAACTAATCATAATGTAAAGTACGCTGTTTTAGGCCAGGCGCGGTGGCTCAGCCTGTAATCCTAGCACTCTGGGAGACCAAGGTGGGCGGATTGCTCAAGGTCAGGAGTTCAAAACCAGCCTGAGCAAGAGTGATGCCCTGTCTCTACTACAAATAGAAAGAAATTAATTAGTTGGCCAACTAATATATAGAGAAAAAATTAGCCAGGCATGGTGGCACATGCCTGTAGTCCCAGCTACTCAGGAAGCTGAGGCAGAAGGATTGCTTGAGCCCAGGAGTTTGAGGTTGCTGTGAGCTAGGCTGATGCCATGGCACTCACTCTAGCCTGGGCAATGAAGTGAGACTCTGTCTCAAAAAAAAAAGAAGGCTGTTTTTTGTTTCTCAAGATCAGAATTGTTACTTTACAAATAAACAAATACTACATATATATATATATATATATATGTAATTTTAAGCCTTAAATATACACTGGGAATTTTCCTAGAGCTTCAGAGCCACTAAGTCCAGTAACTTTTATAGTAAAATCAGTCATTAGAATAGAAAGGCAAGTTTATGCAAAACTTCTTGTATTGTAATCATAAACATTTCCATTATATTTTCCTTGGGTTAACTAAAAATTAAAATATTTTGTGCAGTGAGGCAAAGATGAATGTCTTTTCCCAAAGGCAGGAACCTTAGGAATGCTTTTGATGGGGATGTTTCTATAATATGTTATTCTGGATCTTCAAACAACAGCAAGGCAAATGTAAAATTTTTCTGTTTCCAAGGTTTGCTTTTGTTTGGTAGGTGTTCACAGTTTTCTTTTTTTTTTTTTTCTGAGACAGAGTTTCACTCTGTTGCCCCAGCTAGAGTGCCATGGCATCATGCCTAGCTCACAGCAACCTCAAGCTCCTGGATTCAAGTGATCCTTCTGCCTCAGCCTCCCAAGTAGTTGGGACTACAGGCATGTGCCAACCATGGCCAGCTAATTTTTTCTATATATTTTTAGTTGGCCAATTAATTTGTTTCTATTTTTAGTAGAGACGAGTTCTTGCTCTTGCTCAGGCTGGTTTTGAACTCCTGACCTCAAGCAATCCACCCACCTCAGCCTCCCAGACTAGGATTACAGGTGTGAGCCACTGCACTTGGCCTAGGGGTTTTTTTTTGTTTGTTTGTTTTTTGACATAGAGGCTCACTCTGTTGCTCAGGCTAGAGTGCAGTGATGTCATCATAGCTCACTGCATCTTCAAACTCCTGAGCTCTAACAATCCTCCCTCAGCCTTGCTAGTAGTTGGGACAACAGGCACATACCACCATGCCCAGCTAATTTTTTCTATTTTTTGTAAGGATGGGTTTCGCTCTTACACAGGCTGGTCTCAAACTCCTGGCCTCAAGCAGTCCTCCTGGTTCAGCCTTCCAAAGTGCTAGGATTTCATGCTTAAGCAACTGCACCTGGCATTTGTTTACAATTTTAAATACTGTCTAATAGAAGAGAACTTTAAACTTAGAGTCTCTCTGTGGTTTTCCTTATTTGGTCTAAATATTAGCTGTGTTAATTTTGTAATTATAAAATTTGTTTATATGAAAGTATAGAGGAAAATAATTTTATTTTGGACAATGAACTGTTTTATAAATTAATTTGTAATAACAGTATGGTTAGCCCTTTCACACCCTAGCTATATGCCTGTGTTCACTTGGCATGAATATGAACAAATTGCTTTGTGTTTGGGATTCAGGTAAAAAAATAATTTTGGCATTTCCTAATAATAGTTAGGAATGTGATCTTTCTACATCAGCATCTTGAAATTACCTCATTTTTATTATTTACTACACAGTAGACTGTTATCACGCTGGATGATGTGATATCTGAATGCTTAAAAATAGAATACACTATGGGGGAGGGGGGCATGGGCAATATACGTAACCTTAACATTTGTATCCCCATAATGTGCTGAAATAAAAAAAAAATAGAATACACTTCTTTTAAATAAAATGTTATAATTGGGTCTTACTTGGCCAAGAACTAAAAGGCACACTGGTGACACAAAATTGAATAGATCTCCCTATGTATATCGTTTAGCTAACTCATTAGGAAGTATTCTAAAGTGGAAATTACATTTTACAGCTGGGATTGAATTTATAGCCCTAGAGGTGATGTTCTTATGAACTATTAAGAGAAAAAAAAAAGAAAAAGAAAAATGAACAAAAATGTCATTTATATTATCTGGAAGTAAAGACATATCTCAGATTTAATAGACCTCGAAAAAGTAACAAGACTTTTTTTCTTTTAGGTTCTTTAAAAAAAAAAATATATATATATATATATACACACACACACACACACACACACACTCTTGGTACAATTATTGCTCCATACAATACCAAATTTTCATTTTTCAAGACAGCACATAGGAATAGTTATTATAATAGACTTTTTTTTTTTTTTTGAGACAATCTCACTCTGTTTCCCCAGCTAGAGTGCCAAGGCATCTCAGCCTAGCTCACAGCAACCTCAAACTTCTGGGCTCAGGTGATCCTCCTGCCTCAGCCTCCCAAGTAGCTGAGACTACAGGAATGTGTCACCATGCCTCGCTAAATTTTTTTCTATTTTTTAGTAGAGACAGGGTCTTGCTCTTACTCAGGCTGGTCTCAAACTCCTGAGCTCAAACGATCTGCCCACTTTGGCCTCCCAGAGTGCTAGGATTACAGGTGTGAGCCACCGTGCCCCTCCTTTAATAAACATTTTTAAAAGTGTAACCCTGATGAGTGTGAAAATTATGAGCTGGTTTTAGTTACAACTGTTTTAAGTGTGATTTATAAGGCAGAATATTCTTTTCCTGTTTATTTTAGGAAAGGTTGTTTGTCAACGAAGAAAATGTTAATGAGTTTCTTGAAGAGGTACTGAGCTCTCCATTCAAACAGACTATGTCCCTAAGTCCACCATTAATTGAAGTTCTTCAGGTTACTGATAATAAGATTCAAATTACTGCAAAGGTAAGAAATTTGATACACTTTACAGAGGAGTGACTAATGACAAGATTAAAGCCTAACAAACTTAAATTCTTGATTTCTGAACGTCATAACTTTAATAAAATACATAATGGCTGGGCAGAGTGATATTAAAAAAAGAACAGAATTTTGTCTGTGTATTTACTGTGTGCCAAACACTCTGCTATTCCTTTTCACATTACCTCATTTAATCCCCAAATAACCCTCCAATGAGGGGAACAAAGAGAAATTAACATTTAGGAAGTCTGAATACTAGTGCAGGGACAAACATAAGTCATGTTTGATTCTCTTTTTTCTTTTTTTTAATTCTATTAATTTTTTCCTTTTTTTTTCCCTGTCCTTTGTAGGCCAGGATTGATTCTCACACCATGGGAACTATGTCATACAATTTGTTCATTCTTTTTAGTTCAACCTAATGTTTGATCATTTTTATAGTCTTCAATATTGGGCATGAAAATAATATAGTAACTAGCACAATTGACTGATATATGAATTGGAGGAATGGTAGCTCCAAATAATCACAGAAATTCAAGAAATTCAACAATGCCCCTATAGGAGTGATTATTAAAGGGTTTTGTAGGCCATGTTGAAAAGCTTGGATTATGTTATTGTGAAGGAGATGAGGAGTCACTGAAAGGATTTAATCAGAAAATGCCAGGTTTGCATTGTTGAAGCATATCTGCAGGTTTGCAAGGATTACCTCATAACTTTTTTTAAAGTCTTATTTCCAGAAGGTATTATAATTGTTTTCTATTGTTTCAAAAAAATATTAATATGTTGTTTCTCTTGACACAGTTGCAAGAATGTAGTAACTCTGATCAGCTTCAAGGAAAGGAAGAAAGAGTCAGTGAAGGAAGTCATCTAACTGAAAAAGAAAATATAGAACATTTTACCACCTCTACAACTGATTCTGATTGTGGTTCAGTTGCATGTTTTCAGCAAAAGTCTCTTGATGATTCTCAAATGCTATTTGGAAAATCTCAGCAACCTGAATCAAAAATGGAACCTGAATTTATAAAAGAAAAAAGTGCTACTTATGCAAATATGGAAAAAGATAATTTAAAAGAACCAGTAATAAGTGAAGAGAAAGAATTAGATGGAGATCACCTATCTTCATTACTGAACAAAACTACAGTTCACAACATACCTGATTTTGACAGCATAAAAGAAACCAATATGGAAGATGGTAGTGTACAGATTATCAAAGATCATGTGACTCATTGTGCATTCCGTTTTCAGAATTCCTTGCTATATGATTTGGATTAATTGTATAGAATAATAATTATATAGTAAATATATAAAATTATATAGAATTAATCAGAAATTTGCAATTTTGATTCTAATGGGGAAACTAGGGATTTTTTTTCCCTCTAGAATTTAAAGTTTCCTTAATTAAGGAGATAAGGTTTGTGATTCTCCTGATAGATGTGTATTTTTTCTAATGGAGAGTTAAATATTTAATTTTAATACAATCTGTATATATTAACTTCTGTGTTAATTTTTGCTTCCTTTGTTTACTATTACTTTAATAAAGTTTCAAAATAATTATTCACTAAGTTGCATTTGTCACACAAAGTAATTCTCAGGAATTCAAGTAACAGGAAATAGGAGTGTGTATGTTCGGGGGGAGGGTAAAATCTTGAAACTTTTAAGTCTCACTAACTAGGATGTATTGATGCTTAAAATAGAGCTTAGAGAGGAAAGAACTTTACTAACCAGTATTAGCAATCTAAACAATTACAATACAGATACACCAAATAAAACTTAGTATTTTTGTATCAACTCTACTAATTTACTCTTCTGTCATGCCAACTATATATATAATAAAGGTTAAATTATTTCATAATGACTTAGACAATTCAATCTTTAAAAATAATTTCTTATAAGTTACTATTGGAATATTAAAACATCTTGGTATTACAGAATACATTTAAGAATTTTAAAGCAGGAATTTTAAAAATATGGCAATGTGCTCTGATACGAAACTTGTCTTCATTATATTATTACATGAAAACAAAAGCCAGTGTTTAATAATCAATTCCTTCTTAAAAATTTTTTTTAAAGAGATGGGGACTTGCTATACTGCCCAGGCTGGATTCAAACTCCTGGATTCAAGTGATCCTACCACTTCAGCTTCCTAAATAATCATTTTCTTTTATAACACCTCAAATGTGAGGCAAAGAGAAAGTCCTAACAGGTTTTTTTTCCTCACAAAAATTCTTACTTAGGACAACATGAAAGAAAATGTAGAAAGGAAAATATTTGTTGATCTAATCACCAACTCCAAGGCCATGCATAGCTGATTTATTTTCATTCCAAAAAATAGCTACTAATTCAGACTCTGACCTTCTTAGCTCAGTCCTGGAAACCACCTCATTTCTTTAGTCCTTTGAACTGGCGATGTCAGGTCCAGGTCAGAGTACCAAAAACTGGTACAAAGCCTGCTGGTTCATTTTGATTTACATTTGTAACTCTCAGATAAAATCTGGCACCAGATTGGGCTGTGAGGGTAGAATAAAGGTAGCTCATAAAGCAAGAGAACTATTTGCCTCACCTTAGATGAGCATATGTGCTTTTCCACCACTATGAATCTTAAATTGATGCAATAACTTTGACAGTATACATATAATTTGTTGTTATTTAAATCTTTGATTTAAATAAATGACTAATTGTAGGATCTTTACACAGAAATTAGTTTTTTATAAGTAATTTTTGGTTGAATGCAATTATATGTTAAGGAAAATTTGTATAAACTACATTAAACATTGAGTAAATTTTAAACTTGTTTCGTATTATTAACTGTATCCATTTGAGAAGTATGATTTCAGTTAAAGCTGGCACTAGAAAGTGTTTCACTTTGGCATGACTTAACTTTGTATCATTTCTGGCTTTCAACAACAATTTAGGCTGTATTTCCCTTACACAGCAGCTTTTTATTGTTCATTATCTATGCCTGGCTAATTTGAAAGCCAAACAGTTTTTTCCAAAAGGAATGCATTGTCATGAGCTAGGTTTTATTTCAAACTCAATTACACAATATTTAGATGGCAAACATTAAGATGTTAACTTTCAAAACTTTGAGAATGCCTTTACTAAATTTTGGTGTAAAGAGTAAACAAAACTTACTCTGCAAAAGGATTAAGAAACTCTTTATGCAAAAATGAGTATTTTATTTTGGCAGCACTAAAAGAAAAAAAAAAAAACCAAAACCACTGTATTTCTACATTGAGGTGAAAATGTTTAAACTTTCTTACCAATCAAATACATTCCAAAAGAAAGTGTGTTCTATGAAGGTTCCAAAGCACAGGCAAATCTTAGCACAACAGTACAAGAATCTGTAATACTGAAAATGACTGTTCTGACAGGATGTTTAACAAACATAATTTTTGAATTATTAAACCAGTGAAGCATTTCGTTCCTAATAACTGTATCAAGAGTGAAACTGGGCTTATTCCATTAATACTCTAACAATTTCACTGTAATACTTTTTACTGCTATGACAATTTTAAATAAATTTTGCTGTACTTAAAATAAGTTTTGAAAGTGGAAAAGTGTACAAAGTTTCAGATAAAAAGATTAATAGATGCAATTTAAATAAAATTTCCCCTCTTCTCTCATATCAATTAACAATAATCATTATTTTTAGCAGATACAGATTGAACTTTAAAACCCTACTCCCAAAATGAAAACTTCAGTTTTAAATCTTAATCAGACATAACTGGAAAAGATTACTATGTATTTGAACACCTTTTACAAGAATTTTTGTATTAAAGCAGAAACCAGTTCCTAAACTTTTATTCAATTGTATATTCTGTTTAGACAAATATCAAAAATAGAAGACTGTCACTTTAGCTTTTATAATTGTGATTTTTCACTGCAGTCTTCTATAACTTTTACAAAGTTCATGATCCCTAATATCTCCCCACCCTCCATTTTTCCTAGGTGGGGAAAGGGCTACCACAGGAAACTTCTCACTGATAATTAGAGTTTCTGGAAATAGAAGCTGTTTGTTACTATTTAAGAGTGACTCAATTTGGGCACTCTGGGTGGATGGTCTACAGGTTTTCTTGTGATGCATACCACAGTCTCCAGCATGAAAAATCCTAGGAACTCGAGGAACCAGCACTTTCCAGAATTTTGGAAGACAAGATACAGTCAAATATTGAAGAGTCCAGTCCCAGTTATAATCATCGTAAGTACAGAAAGTGTCTGTGCACTTGATCAGCTCCTGATAAGCATTCCGGGTCAAGGCTAGACCCATATTGTGCTCTGTGGATTTCCAAGTTTTCACTTCTACCTTGTCAGCAATGCCACGGAAACTGCGGCTGGCAGTATAGGTCCCCAGGGAGAGAACATTGCACTCAGGACACTCTTCCTGCTTCAATTTCCACATCTTCTTGAAGACATGGTAAAAGTCTGGGGCCACGTAGTGATCCTCTTCTAGGAAAAGTATAAGGCCAGCATAATCTCGAAGAATTTTGACTCTTTCCCATACAAAATGCAGCTTCCACCACCAATGATGTTTGGTTTGGGAGAACTTAGCCTCTCTATAATGGCCAAAGGAGTCGGGATACTCAGCATTAATGCACCCCAATTTCAAAGCTGCGTTCTTCTGCAGGTCTCTGGGGCAATCTCTGGGGTCACTGCCTGGAAACTCATTGGGGTACAACTGAATGCTGAAAGGAAAGAACACCTGCAGAACCGGACAGAAATCCACCCCCGCGATCAGGTGATTGATCTCTGTCGACCAGAAGTCATGGCTAAAGATAACGAGGACGTTGTCGATGCCCTGGGCTTTTCGAAGTGAGTCCAGCAGGAGTCTGAGGTATTCTGGCCGGTTATGCACCTGAACCACCAGCACCAACTCCCCGGGAGCCCAGGTGCCAGGCTTATCTACATTCCTCAGCGTCTGATCAAAGTTCAGCTGGTACACCAGGGACCGGTACCGCAGCGTCAGGTTGTCCGCTTCAGGTTGGGGGGCCGCCGGGACCAGTGGAGCCGCCGACTCGTTGGAGACTCTGCGGATGCCCACAGACACAGAGGGATGGTCCCCGCCCCGGCCGCCCGCACCCCGCGCGGGCTCAGCGTCCAGCAACGGAGGAGCAAGGGCCTCGTTCTTCCTTTGTCGCCCATTGCTGCTCCAGAGGACGAAGCCGCAGGCGGCCACCACGAGCGTCAGGATTAGCACCTTCCGTTTGTAGATGCGGAACCTCATGGTCTCCAGGGCCGGGAGCGCGGACGAGCGGGCGCGGAAAGGCGATAACGGATTTTGCACGCAAAGGGCGGGCGGGCAGAGGCCGTCGCCTTGGCCTGTAGCGCTCGGAACTGGCCCCCGCGGCTGCCCTCGCTAACTCATCCCGTGCCCCGAGGGTCCTGGGGCCCGAAGCCTCTCAGCTGCCCCACGCCGCCTGGGCTCCACACATCCTCGCCCAGCAGCTGCAGCTCCAGCAGCGGCCCCACCGCTAGGAGCCACGGCTCGGCTTCGCCTCGGTCCTCTCCATTCAGCACCACGGGTCCCGGAAGAAGCCCAGCCGCTGCCCCACCGCTCCCCAGCTTCGTTACCTGCGCCTCCAGCGGCCCCGAGTCCTTTGCCCTCTCATCCTTACGCGGGCCCCGGGCGGCCAGGACAGAGCAACGCAGCCTCTCCCCACTTCAGCGGCGACGGTTCTGACAACCCGCGACTGGCCGGCGGAACACCACGGCCCTCCGGCCACACCCCTCCGGCCCGCCCTGTAGGCCGCTGGTTGGTGCTTCCCAGACGCGTCCGGAGACGCCTGGCCGTCGTAGGTGGCTGCCTATTGGTTCACAATACTGTCGCTCAGGTTCAGTTCCTACTTCCGCTTCATTCCTCTCTTTCCTGTTAGCGCGAGCGGCGGGAGGCAAGGGTTGCGGACGCCAACTTTCCCGGTAAGCTGAGAACCGGACGATAGTGGTTCCAACAGAAACTCTGTTGCTCAGTATCCGGGGCTGGAGTAGGCCGTTGTAGGAACGGAAGCTGAGACCCGGTACCTTGGCTTGGTTGAGTTCACTAACTGGCTTCTCCCTTCCGGAAAGGGACTCACGCATGGCGGCTACAGGGCCGCTGGGCACGACGACTTGTTTAGGACACGTCAGCCCTCAGAGCTGCTGACGGGTGACCGTGCTTCGGAGGGGAGAGCCACGCTGATGTGGTTCTCGGGGAAGGAAGGGCGGGTTGTAACAGTAGCTACTGCATCGCGCGCTGCACCAGCATACCCACGAGCTGGAAAATAGAGGAAGTGGGTCTGGGGAAGGGACTAGAAAAGAAACTATTTACCTTCTCTTTCTGCGGAGGAAAATTAGATGGACACCCCCACGCTTTTCTTTTTGAGCAGCCACTTAGTACAGAGAACTGACAGTATTGGGCCTTCCAGTGCTGTTCTTGTTTTTTAGTGAGCTTCATTTTATTTGGGAAAAAAAGAGCTCAGATCATCCTGACCTACATGAAGTATATGCAAAATTTATCCGGCCCTGAGAGAGAATATAGGACTTTAGTTGCAGCCCTCTCCTCACCCCTGCCGCGTGCCCATAGAGCAATTAAATCATTTCCTTGTACTACTTGCCTCTTCTGTTATCTTCTGATTTCTGGAATTTGTGGTACAAAGAACAATGTAGAGCCAATCAATAGCTTGTGTTATTTTAATGTAAATTATCTGTAAACAATTTAGGAACTGCCTTTTTCCTTTAAAAACCCACTTGTAACTACTGCTAGTAGAGCATATATTCTGGACAACTTGAAACTATACTCCTCGATTGCTGTCCTCAAACTTGGCCCAAAGAAACTATACTTATATTAATTTCACATAAGTTTTTCTTTTCGGTCAACATATCAATGTTCCAATAATTTAAACTAAGTGTTCCCAAAAGGTATACACATTTGTATGTGCATTTATTTATAGGGCAGTGAGTATTTGGTGGATTTATACATTACTGATCCAATACTGTTTTCCTATAAATATCTAGGACTATCTAAGTGTATAGTACTTTTCACTTTTCAGAATGTTTAATGTCTGCTACCTTAAATATTTTACTACAGATTTCATTGAATAGACAGACGGCTCTACAGTAAACATGGTCAATGTACCTAAAACTCGAAGAACTTTCTGTAAGAAGTGTGGCAAGCATCAACCTCACAAAGTGACCCAGTATAAGAAGGGCAAGGATTCCCTGTATGCTCAGGGAAAGAGGCGCTATGATCGGAAGCAGAGTGGCTACGGTGGGCAAACAAAGCCAATTTTCCGGAAGAAGGCTAAAACCACAAAGAAGATTGTGCTAAGGCTGGAATGTGTTGAGCCTAACTGCAGATCCAAGAGGATGCTGGCCATTAAGAGATGCAAGCATTTTGAACTGGGAGGAGATAAGAAAAGAAAAGGCCAAGTGATCCAGTTCTAAACTTTGGGACTCTTTTTCTCCTTTAATTTTGAGGAGAAAATGTTGAAGCTGTAGAAAAATTACTTGTAGGGAAATAAATACAATGATATTAAAACCTTTTGTGTTTGTCTTTTAAATAGTATTGCATGTTTAATGTGGTTCTAGATTTAGGAACTAACAGTAAATTCTTTGGAAGTGAACAAAGGTTTATCCTATTTTCAAATTCTATTCCCCCAAATTGGAATTTTGTATTTACATATAAAGACAAGTCCTGCCTTAATACTTTACAACCAAGTTTAGAGATAGAAGAGGGGAAAATAAGGAGCATCTAGGAAGAGTCTCAATCAGATTTGGAAAAACATATATATATATATGAACTAGGAGCAGAGGATCCATTTGAGGGATAATACGAGCTGACTTTCTGCAAATGTTCTGTCTACTAGGGGCCACTAGCTACCTAGCTATTTAAAAATGCGATTCCTCAGTTATACTAGCCACATTTAGTACTCAATAGCCGCATATGGCTAGTTTATGAGACAACACAGATATAAAGCATTTCCACTACATAAAGTTATTTTGGACAATATTAAAATGCTTTTTACTTAATTTTTAGATACAGGATCTCTGTTACCCAGGTTGGAGTACAGTGGCATTACGATAGTTCACTGTAACCTTGAACTCCTGGCCTCAACGGATTCTTTTGCCTCAGCCCAAAACACTTGCGATTACAATTGTGAGCCACCGTGCTAACCAGGACAGCACTTTTATTTATTTTTTATTTATTTATTTTGACACAGAGTCTCACTTTGTTGCCCAGGCTAGAGTGAGTGCCGTGGCGTCAGCCTAGCTCACAGCAACCTCAAACTCCTGGGCTCAAGCAATCCTTCTGCCTCAGCCTCCCGAGTAGCTGGGACTACAGGCATGTGCCACCATGCCCGGCTAATTTTTTGTGTATATATATATATATATATTTTTTTTTTTTAGTTGGTCAATTCATTTCTTTCTATTTTTAGTAGAGACGGGGTCTCACTCAGGCTGGTTTCGAACTCCTGAACTTGAGCAATCTGCCCGCCTCGGCCTCCCAGAGTGCTAGGATTATAGGCGTGAGCCACCATGCCTGGCAGGACAGCATGGTCTGTCCTGACATGGTCTTTAATATATGCCAGAAGCTCAATATTGATTTCAAACTACAAAAAGTTCTACATCTAGTGAAAGTGAAAAATCATGAGTCCATGATAACATAAACCTTGTTTTTTGAACCTTGTAGAATGTGCTCTTGGAGGTATTCAAATATTAGAATTTCTTGACAGTTGAGAGGGTTGAGGAGGTAAGCAGTTACCAATGAAAACAGAATAGAATGTTGAAACTCAGAATGAAAAGAATTGAGCCTAATAATTATCTGTGTAAGGCAAGAAAGAATAAGTTGAGTATCAAGTGAAAGGATTAAATAAACTCGGAAAGCGTATAGGTTATAAGAAGACAATTTCTGCTTTTCATATACAAATTTTAAATGTCTTAAAAGATACATACATGGGAGTGACTAAATGAGTAGAATTAGAAGAATGAAAAGGGCTAGGGCGTAGGGAATAACATGGTTAGCATTTAACCCCAATATAGACATATAAATGCATTTGTTGACAAAAAATTGTTTTTCTACAATAACATAAAAATCAGATGTGCACAATTTTTAAAGACACCATGTTACTTTTTAAATAATTTTTTTTTTTTGAGACAGTCTTGCTCTGTGAACTGGGCTAGAGTGCCATGGCCTCAGCCTAGCTCACAGCAACCTCAAACTTCTGGGCTGAAGCAATACTCCTGCTTCAGCCTCCTGAGTAGCTGGGACTACAGGTACATGCCACCACACATGGCTAATTTTTCTTTTTCTTTTCTTTTTTTTTTTTTTTGAGATGAGGGTCTTGCTCTTGCTTAGGCTCATCTTGAACTTCTGATCTCAAGTGATCTCCCCACCCTGGCCTCCCAGAGTGCTAGGATTACAGATGTGAGCCACTGGGCCCGGCCAAGAACCATGTTTTAATGCAGTTGTTTTAAATAATTTTTGTGGATAAGCCATCATTAATTTATGAGTTTGAAAAATTCAAGGTTATTTTACTTAATTTCAGAATTCTTGGTTTTAAAAACTGCAAGTGAATTAACTTTAGAAGGCAGTAGCCCTGGCTTAAAATCTGATCTGGACTTGTGAGAATTAAATACTGCATATAAAACACCTGGAACAAAGAGACCAGATTAATGGCAGCTCTTTTTATTTTTAATTATTATTTTTTAGCATATTATGGGGGTACAAATGTTAAGGTTACATATATTGCCCAGGCCTCCTCCCCCCTTGAGTAAGAGCTTCAAGCATGTCCATCCCCCAAATGTTGCACATCTTACTTGTGGTTGTATATACCCATCCCTTCCTCCCACCTCCCACCCTCCCGACACCCGATAAAATGTTACTCCTATATGTCCACTTAGGTGTTGATCCAGTAATACCAATTTGCTGGTGAGTACATGTGGTGCTTGTTTTTCCATTTTTGATACTTCACTTGGAATGGGTTCCAGCCATATCCAGGAATATACAAGAGGTGCTATATCACCATTGTTTCTTAAAGCTGAGTAGTATTCCATGGTATACATATACCACATTTTATTGATCTATTCATGAATTGATAGGCACTTGGGTTGTTTCCACAGCTTTGCAATTGTGAATTGTGCTGCTATAAACATTCGAGTGCAGGTGTCTTTTTCATAAAGTGACTTTTGATCTTTTGGGTAGATGCCCAGTAGTGGAGTTGCTGGATCAAATGGTAGATCTACTTGTATCGCTTTGAGGTATCTCCATATTGCTTTCCACAGAAGTTGAATAGTTTGCAGTCCCCCCCAGCAGTGTAGGAGTGTTCTCTCCTCTGCATCCATGCCAGCATTTGTTGTTTGGGGACTTTTGGATAAAGGCCATTCTCACTGGAGTTAAGTGATATCTCATTGTGGTTTTGATTTGCATTTCCCTGATGATTAGAGATGTTGAACATTTTTTCAAGTTTGTTGGCCATTAATCTGTCTTCTTTTGAGAAATTTCTGTTCATGTCCTTTGCCCATTTTTTGATAGGGTTATTTGATTTTTTCTTGCTGATTTTCCTGAGTTCTAAATAGATTCTAGTTATCAACCCTTTATCAGATGTGTAGCTTGCAAAAATTTTCTCCCATTCTGTGGGTTGTCTGTTTGCTCTCTTGACAGTTTCTTTGGCTGTGTAGAAGCTTTTTAATTTGATCGGGTCCCATTTGTTTATTTTTGTTGCCGTTGTGATTGCCTTTGGGGTCTTCTTCATAAATTCTTTGCCTAGGCCAACGT